AAGAATTGCAGATATTTCCTGAAAAATGCATTTTCAAGACCTTTAGAATTTTTCTCAAAACATCTAGTCTAATTATCCCTGGAGCCATCTAGAAATCTCGTATAGGGTTTTCCCTAAAAAAAATTCCAAATAAAAGCCACAATTCAATTGTTTTTAGATCTCTTGGATAGTCTTGAAAGTTTCAATAAAGTTCCTAGAGATATACAAATAATGGAATTACGTCTTATAGTTGGAAACTTTCTAGAAGAAATCTTCTGAAATTTTCTAGAAATTTTAAAAAATTATCCTCTAATTATTTCCTTAAAGTCTTCTAGAAATGGAAAATTCTATCCACGTTCTGATAGTGTTATCTGATAGCAGATGTCATGGCAAAACAATTTGTGTTGAATTAAATGCTGAGTCCCCAAACCGCCCGGTCTCCTCTCCCCAAATCTGTTCAACATGTTGAAAAAATTCAATAAAATTGATTAAAACATCAAAAGATATATGTACTTGGTGTTGAGATCCCCCGCCCCATCGCTCCTCCCTACACATCCGAGTTCTCATCTATCAAACAAAAGAAGAAGGCACCCACCTTGTGGGTGCCCAGTATTTCATCAAAAGCCCCGTACTATAATGAGAAGGAAAACAACAACAAAAAATAGTGAAAATGGTAAATGAAAGACCTGGGGGCAAAGGGGGGGGTGAAAAGGTGGAAAACTGAATAAAAAACAAAAACACAAATCAGAAAAAAAATTGCTAGAGAACAATGTGCTGATGTTCTTGTTCAAATTCTCATTTGCATCATTCGGCAGCAGCAGCATCAACAGCACCTATCCATGCTGGTCTGGTGATGACAAATACATGGCTGGGATAGACGCACACACATACCTTAGCAGAAACATATGCATGTGTGTGTGTATGATTGTCAAACTTGATGCTTAGCACATTCATTCATATAAGCAAAATAATATATAACAATAAAAATAAAACTAAAAGAAAAATTAAAAAAAAAAGAAACAAAAATCAAGACAGAAACTACAAATGTAATATGGACGAATATAGAGAGTGATAAATGTCAAGGAAAAGCAGGAAATTTAAATGACATTTAAAGAGTGAGGTAAACAAAACATTGGCCAAGAGAGCCATCAAAATATATAGAGAGAGAGAGCCATATCACAATGAGACGAATTTGTTTAGCAAAACATAAAGCGAAAAAAAACATTTTTTATTTTCGGAAATTTTGAAATATAATAGAAAAACAACAACAAAAAAGAGCACATAAACAATTGACGCAGGAAAATGACAAGAATGTGTGCTGTTGTGTATGTGTGTAAATAACATCCACTTGCTCTCCTCGCAAACCAAACACGTGCATTGCTTTTCTACGGCGAAGTATGAGAAGAAAGAAGAAAAGAGACGAGGCAATGCAAATGCGGCTAGGATAGCCTGGGTGGCGTATAACAAACAAACAACTTGTTGCTCATTCGCATTCATCACCGACCACCCGACTACTTGTAGAAAGGCTTGTCATCATCAGCATTGCCATGGACTGCAATGGTGTGAGAGTGTTTGTGTGTGTGTGTTTGTCTGTGTTGGTGCTATCTTTTTTTATTTAATATTGGTGCTTTTGTTTTGGTGTTAATGACACGTTTGCTGGCTTTTCCACACAAAAATAAATGTAGCCTGGTAGCGTGCTAATTGTTTGGGAAATTTCAAACTAGGTCAAATGGATGACATGTTGGCTGTCTATAAACAACAATTGTTTAAAATGCAAACAATTATAAATAATTTAAATTAGAATGAATTTATGGATAGTTTAGTTGAAAAGTTATAAATGTTGTTTAAGGAAATGATGGAAATGTACCAGAGAAAAACTCTCTATGTCCTGAATTTGCATTTGGCAAATAAGAGCGATCTTTTAAGCAGCCTAAGCTTATTTTTTTATTTTTAAGCAAAAACTTGGAATGTAAGCAAATTACCTTCTGCATTACTAGTAGGTTGAACATATTGGATTATTCATAAAACAAATAAAATAGTATCAGTAGGTTTTACCGACAGATGGGGTATACAGCCTTGACTTCAAACTGTTGACTCTTTATGAAGGAGGTTCCGGTTCCAATATTGACAATTTCGTTGCTGAACTAATACTGATATAAATATTGCAATGTGGTGGATTTGGACTATATCGACTATTTCCTGAAATATGCGTGAGGTAACAGATATAGCGGACCAAAGTATTCCATTTTTATACATCATCTAATACAGATAAAAATTGTGGTATGTACAAAATGTGCAGACCTTGGCTTAATACAAATATTGTGACGTGTGTGTAGTTTGAAGAGGATCGGATGCTTATTTCGGATTTTTTGATGGATTTGGTTATTCAAAACTTTGACCCTTTGTGGGCTAGGTACCAGAATCGAATCGGATGTTAATTTCGTGTTTTATGTGTTTCATGAATATTCAAAATGTTGACCCTTTATGGAGGTGTATTTGATGTCCATTTTCGTATTTGACCTGGCACTGATGCAATTATTAGGATTCATATGGCTAAGGGTATAAAAATACAATGATATAAAATTCGGATGCATTTGTATATACCTAAATAGAATATTTAAAATTAGAAAATAGTGGAGATTTACTAATGAAAAAAGAAAGTCCTCTATGGTTTTAAAAGTAAAGACAGACTATCAAAAAAGGTTCCTACTTCAGATGGACCAAAACCCACACATTCTCAATAATGGCGTAAAATAATTGGAAAATCGGATTAAAGCATATCAATTAAAGCTCAAAATATATCTATATAGGCGACAAGGCTGAAATTAAAATCTTGAAATTTTGCATGTTGGTCATTGGAACAATAAGTCCTTCGAACAATAAGTTCACTCAAAGTAATAAAATTGAATCCATTGTATTGGCCAAACGGATAGAGGTAGAATAGATGGATTGGTGAATGATAGATTGACTAAATATTTTTTCTACCCTCAGCCATATGGCTAGAGAGGGTGTATATTATTTTATACGTGCCTAATCGAAATAACGGTTTTAGACCCTAGGTCTCTTTAGATCAAATCCGTTTCAGGCCATTTGGAGTCGATCTAGCGATGTCCGTCCGTCCGTCTGTCTGTCTGCTGGATGGTGCGCATGATAACTCTCGAATGGAGTATCCGATTTGGTCCAAACTTAGTACATTGTCAAACTTCGATCGAGTTCGGAGATGGGAAATATCGGCCCACTCTTTGTGGCACTTCCCCCACAAAAGGTCGAAAATTTAAAAAAATATATATTTCCAACTTTGCAAATCCTAATATTTGCATCAAGGCTAGGTCTAGGTGCGGACTAGGCGCGATGTGCAATATCGGGCCACTCCAACAAGTATCTTCCCGCAAAGGGTCAAAATGTTGAATAATTACAACTCTTATAAAATGTGATGTAAGGGTCCGATTGTCTTCAAATTTCACACATCCCAATACTTTTGTCAACCCACGGTCTTATCTTAAGATGCACAATATCGGTCCACTCCTTTTGCTACTTCCCCCACAAAAGGTCGAAATTTTCAAAAAAAATATTTTTTTTGCACAGAAAGAATAATCCGATTTTGCTACAACTTTGAATATCCTAATATATTAGCACTGATGCGCTAGGTCAGGTGTGAAAATGAACAATATCGGTCCACTCCATCAAGTACCTCTTCTACACATGGTCAAAATGTTTAATAATTACAACATGTGATGTAAAAGTCCGATTTAGGTCTAGTGTTAAGATGGGCAAAATCGGTCCATTCCTTCTGGTACCTCTCCCCAAGTGGTCGAAATTTGCAAAAAAAATCAGTAACCGTGAAACTCATAGAAGGGGAAATTAACAGCCGATTCCATTCAGACTTGGCAACAATATTTCAACACAAGATATGTTATAAAAATGGTAGAGATCGGACCATTCCTCCTAAAAAGCGAAATAAGCATCCAACTCTCTTCAAATTTCACACATCCAAATATTATTGTCAACGCAGGATCTGTTGTGAAGATGATATATATCTGCGAACCCCTTCTGGTACCTCACTCACAAAGGTTTACAATTTTCAATACTTTTATCTGTCATAAAGTGCGAAACAAGTCACCGATCAACTTGCTATATCTAAATATGTTTCTTAACCAGAAATCTGATATAAATATTTGTTTTATCGAAATTTATGGTTTCGCATAAAAAATAAAATGTTTGATTTTCCTCAAATTTTGATAATGGAATATTTCGATCCGCTATATTTCCACAGTTTTTCAAAAGTTTGCACACATCTCATATAAAGTATAGGAAGAAGTCGATATAGTCCATATCTGGCACGTTGTGCAATTTATATTAGTCTTAGGTCTGATACGAATTGGTCAATATTGGCCAAATGCTTCGGAACCTCCCCCAATAAGAGGTCAACAGTTTGAATTATTATAACTCTATCGGCAAAACCGACTGATACAATTTTACTTGTTTGTATTGTTTTCAATATAGCCAGATCTCAGCCCAGATGTTAAATTTCAAAATTTTCATAATGTGTTGGTGGCTCACTTTTCCTTTCTTGTACAAAAATTGAAACCATATTAAAAGCCAAACAAATAGCATGGCCTTTTGAGAATATAGTTTCCCGCTCTTAATAATCCCCACAATAAATTAACCCATTTTAATTAAAGGTCAAGTCCTGATGTTTTTAATAAAGGAAGACATGTCCTAAGATTCCTTAAAGGCCCCTTTAGGGCTTCTATGAAAATGGCTTCTATGAAAGATTAAAAGTCTTCCAAAAAAATCATGGTCAGTCAGACATAAAAAAAATTTTTGATATTATTTTCTGAAGGAACACAGAGATTTTTAAGGAATATTTTTCTAAGGTCCTTCCACATTATCGAAAGGACCACTGTAAAATTGTAAATAATAAGTTTTTAGAGAAATTATAGTGGACTTTGAATATTTTTATCTTGGTACGAAAACAATTTTAATTAAAAAAAATTCTAACATATTTTTTTTTCTTTCAGTGTTGCGAAATGGGCCAGTCAATTCGGCGACGAGCTGTGGGAGCTCGCCCAGATAATGACAAAATCCAAAGAAATCAAGGCTGTGAGTAATATTTGAATTCCATACTCCATATAAAATAATTTTAAAATTATCTTTCCGCACAGAAATACAAAGAATACAATGCCCGGGTGGAGTTCAAAAATGGCAAAGAACTCATCCAATCGATAACGAAAAATGTGGGCCGAATGTTGGCCCGCAAAATGGAGGCTGTGCGCTGTATCATGGAAATGGCCGAGAGAGAATATGAAAATTTTGTTTTCAATGAAACGGAGGCTGAGAATTTCACTTACTATTCGAGTAAATTTTCGAAGTTTGAAAATCACAGTTCGGAAGAGTTGATTGGGGCATTGGCGGAGACCAATGCCGATATGTACAAAGATTTCAATTTGAATCCAGATACACATTTCTATAATATTTCTGTGGATACGGAGCATAGTGCGGTGCATGTGCCGTCGAATGTGTATGATAAACGTAAGTGGGGGAAGGATGGAGTGTGGGGGTGAAAGGATATAATAATGAAAAAAAAAATATTTTATAGATCCTCCCGTCCTGGAGGCCATCATGTGGACGGAGGCCCTGGATGAGATCTTTAGACAAAACTACAAGTCTGATCCCGCCCTGTCATGGCAATATTTTGGCTCTGACACCGGCATTCTAAGACATTTTCCTGCCATCCAGTGGGATGAATCGGATGAGGACAGTAATGCTGACATCTACGATTGTCGCAAACGTTCATGGTACATTGAAACGGCCACCTGTTCCAAGGATATTGTAATTCTGCTGGACAACTCAGGGTCCATGGTTGGTTTCCCCCAGCACGTGGCCAAATTCACAATACGCAGCATTTTGGATACCTTCTCGAACAATGATTTCTTTACGATTTTCAACTATTCGGCCACGGTGGATGATGTCATACCCTGCTTCAAAGATGCCCTGGTCCAGGCAACCCCGGAAAATATTGGTGTATTTAATCATGCCATAAGCAAGTTAAAACCCACGGGATATGCAAATCTGACCATAGCATATACCAAGGCCTTTGAATTGCTTAAAGAGGTGAATTTTCGCTGAATTATTTTTTTAATAGAAACCAAAAAAATAGGATAATAAAAAAGTTTTGAAAAAAATCTGGTTTCTATTGGAAAAATAGTCAGGAATGCAATATGATCCAGGGGAACGGAAATTCCAAAAAAGGAATAAAACCAATTTATTTTTATTTTCAATTTTCTAATCTTTCCTCCCTCCCGTAGTACTACATAAAACGTGACTGCAATACCACCCATAAATGTAATCAGGCCATTATGGTGGTCACAGATGGTGTAGCCGGCAATACGACAGAAGTTTTCCAAACCTATAACTGGGGTGATGGAGAAAATGGTACAATGAGTATGAATGTTCGAATATTTACTTATCTGCTGGGCAAGGAGGTTACCAAAGTGGAGGAGATACAATGGATGGCATGTCTGAATCGAGGGTATTATTCTCATGTTCAGACACTGGATGAGGTGCAAGATGAATCGTTGAAATATGTAGATGTTATAGCAACGCCGTTGGTGCTGCAGGACATAGATCATCCGCCAACGTGGACTCATGCTTTTACGGATAAAACGGTTTGTAAAGAAATTGGAATTTATTAAAAGACGTTTTTCAATTAATTTTGTTCTTCAATATTTTTTGGAACAGTATAAACCCGAGGGAAATTCCACAAATGCCCGCCTCATGATAGCTGTGGGTGTACCGGCCTTCGATCGTTCCTATTTGAAACCGAATGCAACCAAAAAAGCCAGACTTCTGGGTGTGGCTGGCACCGATGTACCAGTGGAAGATATCGATAAGCTGACATTACCATATAAGGTAGGACAGGAAAAATGGGATGGGATACGAAATATTTTCCAAATGATAAGTAGTGAATAGAAATAGGCGATATGAGAATTAGGTCTGAAACGAAATGGACAATATCGGCCCATTCTTTCGGTACCTACCCCATAAAGGGTCAACAGTTTGAATAATCATAACGCAACTCAAAATATATGTCGGTTTTTCCGACAGATATATACCCACAACCTTGAGTTATAATTATTCAAACTCTTGACCCTTTATGGGGAAGCTTCCAAAGCAGTTGGCCAATATTGACCAATTCTGATAAAAATATTACAACGTGCCAGATTTGGACTATACTTTTTGAGATATGTAGAAATTTTTGAAAAATGTGAAAATATGTGTAGCCCTTTGTGGGGGAGGTACCAGAAGGAGTGGACCGATATATTCCATCTTCACACCAAACCTTGCGTTAATAAAAAATATTGAGATGTGTGTAATTTGAAGGGAACCGAATGCTTATTTCGGATTTATGATCTTTTTAGTTATTCAATTCCTTGACCCTTTTTGGGGGAGGTACCAGAAGGAATGTTCCGATCTCTACCATATTTATAAGATATCTAATATTGACAGATATATTGAGATGTACCAAGTCTGAATGGAATCGGATGTTAATTACGCGTTTTTTGAGCTTCATGGTTAAATCTTAACCCTTGGTGATGGAGGTACCAGAAGGAGTGGATTGATATGTCCCATCTTCACACCAGACCTTGTGTTAATAAAAATATCGTGATGTGTGGAATTTGAAGGGAACCGTATTTCGGATTTTATGGCCGTTTTGGTTATTCAAAACTTTGACCCTTTGGGCGGAAGATACCAGAAGAAATGGTCCGATCTCTACCATATTTATAACAAATCTTGTATTGATGGAAATATTGAGATGTACCAAATCTGAATGGAAACGGATGTTAATTTCGCGTTTTAAGGGCTTCAGGCATACTCAAAATATTGACCTTTATGGGGGAGGTACCAAAAGAAGTGCACCGATATATCCCATCTTCACACCAGACCTTGGGTTAAAAACAAATATTGTGATATTGTCCATCTCCGAACTCGATCTATGTTTGATAATAATATTAGGATGTACCAAGTTTGGACCAAATCGGATGATCCGTTCGAAAGTTATCGTGCGCACCAGCTAGACAGACGGACGGACGGACATCACTAGATCGTCTCCATATGTTCCGAAACGGATTTTGTCCAAAGAGACCTAGAGTCTAAGGCCGTTATTTTGACTAGGCACTTTTTGACCTATCAAATGATCTCTCAGTAAGTTCGGCAGGGCCGAAATTTGAATACCCTCCACCATTTGGAAAATTTCAAAAATGAGTAAAAAATTCTGTTAAAATCTTAATAAAGTCGCTCAACTCATCAAAATGCGGAATATAGGGAGGTACCATTATATGGGGGATATATGAAGACGTGGACCTGCACGGACAATTTTCTGTCATAGGCTGTAGTATCTATTGCGAACTTCAAATACCAAATTTGAAACAGTTCGGGTGAATAATGTCGCTAAAATCATCAAAATACCGAATATCGAGAGGTGCCGTTATATGGGGGCTATACGAAGACGTGGACTTGCACATACAATTTTCTGTCACAGTATGTAGTACCCATTAGGAACTTCAAATACAAAATTTGACACAATTCCGGTGAAAAATGTTGCTTAAATCATCAAAATACGGAATATTGGAAGGTACCGTTACATGGGGGCTATAGATATTGTGGGCCTATATAGACAATACTCTTCCAGGGGGTAAAGTACTCAGAAGGAACTTCTTTTGTGGATTTTCAGACAATTCCATTGAAAAATTTGGCAACAATCATCAAAATACCGTTATATGGGTTCTATATGATATCGTGGACCGATATGACCCATCTTCGAACTTGACCTGCATGCAGACAAAAGACTGACCTGTGCAAAATTTTAGCTTCCTATATTTATTCCTTTCGAGTCTAGCGTGATTACAACAGAACATATTTACTTTGTAGGGTGGTCTCAAACTATTATTTCGATGAGTTACATACGGAATGACGAACTTAATATACCATACAAAGTCTGGTGGAGGGTATAAAAATTGAAATTTGTTGCATAGTGTAATGGAAATATCTTCACCTGGCCTACAATGTTTTGCTCTCATTTCAGCTGGGTGTAAATGGTTATTCATTTGTGGTCTCTAACAATGGCTACGTGCTGCTACATCCTGATCTAAGGCCCATTGGGGTGAGTAACATTTATATTCTTTCTTAATTTCTAATACTCACAAAAATATCAACATCTCAATTTTCTTCCAGTACAACGGTGTCATGAATCCCAACTACAATAGTATCGATTTCACCGAAGTTGAGCAGCTGTCTGAAGATGACATACCCCGTGAACCGGGTCCATTGATTTTGAGGCTACGCGAACGTTTGGTACACAATGAGACGGGAGAGCTGATTGGCATTAGTGTTAAAATGCATTATGATAAAATGCGTAGGGTCATCGATCAACAGCAGGACTATTTCTTTGCTCCTCTGCCGAATACACCGTTCAGTTTGGGTATTGTCTTGCCAAGTACCTATGGCAAGACATGGATTAAAGTTGGCGATGAAGTTTTGAAAAATATCCATATGAAAGTTAATATATCGGATTTCTTTACGGGCGACAATTGGAAAGTCCATCCGGATTGGGTGTATTGTAAATATCATTATTTGGAAGGTCATGAATTTAAAACGCCCGAGGATGAGCTAAGGCACTTTTTGAAGAAAATGGTCCAACCCGATTGGGGTTGGTATGAACAGTATGCCGACGATGTGGACAGTGAGGGGAATGGTGAGTAATGGGGAGTTTTTCACTATTAAAATAATTTAGAGTAATTGCTTTTGTAGAAGTAGCCTAATTTGTAGAATAGTTTAAGGCATATAACCCATGGGGTCCTTCGTGAAGCACAATTTAAAGATGCATTTTTATTAGAATAGTTTAAGCCATAAATCACAAGGGGTCATTTGTGAAACATAATTTAGAGGATTACTATTGGATCAATCAACCCATTAGAGTATGATCTTTCCGGCCAAACCTCATTAGCAGAACTGTTTTACTTACAAGACTCATGAAGTCCTTTGTGAGACATAATTGAAAATATTTATTTTGGACTAACACATGGTCCCCTCATAGTCTTGTTTGGGAATTATAATCTGCTCATCTAAAGAATAATTTAGAAAATTAGTTTTGGACTAGTCACATCATGGTTCATGATCTCTTTTTGAAAAATATAATCTAGCCCTTCAATTTTCGCAGAGAATATGTGCCATCTTACAACTCCTCATGACTCGTGTGGACCATTTACATGAGGATAGAAAGATTTTTCCCTTAAGTCAGCACAATCGAATGTTTTCGTTGCAGTATCTGCCTGGAGGTTAACTATTATATGGTAGACAGAACTCCCCTACCCAGGCGTGTCAGGAAGTATCTGCATGATATAAATAGAGAGGTCAAACGAAACAAGAGAGCCTCTAGATAAGGAAACCTATCAGGCATGTCTAAATAGATGAATGCATTGATGCATCCAGGCCATTGCAACATATAGGAAAATGAATCAGTAGATGAATTGGGAAGACGTCAATCCGAGTAAATCGGTATGGAGATCAACAATTCGGTGAAGGCACCATTGTGCCACTTTTAACGAGTGATACATAAACCAGACTTCCAAAACCCGAATTTGGGCAAAGAGTTATCGAATTCGAGCACAAGCGCTCCTGGGAGCAGAAAATATAGCAAAAGTCAATTTGCACATTTTGTTCAGCATCAAGCTCGTACTCTTACCGAACACTCTTTAGTTTGGTCATGCCGTTGTTGTATTTCTATGTATGTGTATTTTTTCTACGTGAAAAACTCCCACTATTCGAGCAATCCTTCTCGGGAGCTAGTTTCGATCTCGAGTGAAAATCAGCAAATCTGTGCTCTGACATAAACATAAATGGGAAGAGATTAAGGTCGCTCATTTCCATGGCAAATCAGATCTAAAACGTGTGGTGACAATCTACACAGGTCATTGTAACATAAGGGTCATGAGTTGAGTGGCGACGACACCGATTACTGCCAGGAGTCGATGACATAAGTGAAAGGTTGAACCCCTCCCTCGCGGAGCTTTCCGCATACTTACACGCGAGGAATATGAAAATATCCGCCACGAAGTCAAGGGCCACATCTCTCTTTACCACATGGTCTGTGGAGATGAGAACACAGCTGAATGAGCAGGTCGAGGGAAATTTAATACCGACCACGAACTACCCCAAGATTCTAGGAGTCACATGTGCGGGATTTTCAAGTCGTCCGCGCAAGCCATAGCTATCTGCGACAGCTATTACGGGTGCCGACAAGAAAACCTTGTTGACTTCATATGACGCGGTAGCTCGGTCTGTGGTCAGATATGCGACTCCAGTGTGGTCTGCGAATACTAGTGCTATGCAGTGAAAGCACATCCAGACCTGCCAGTATGCTGCCCTGAGAACTGCGAAAGGATGCCTCCTCATGACACCAGCGGATCATCTACATGAGGAGGTGAAAGTCCTTCCCTTATGTCAGCATAATCAAATGCTTTCGTTGCAGTATCTTCTTGGGTGTTACCGTGAGAATCATCCCAACCATCATATGGTGGATAAAACTCCCCCACCCAGGCGTGGCAGGAAGGAAATACATGTTATAGAGAGAGAAGTCCAACGCCATAAGAGAGAACCTCTAGATTAAGAAGCCTATGATGCCATCAGCAATTGCAGATGCATCAGCATCTGCCCACCATCCATTGCGGCTGAAGAACGTCAGCTGCCTAGACAAACCTGGGTAGTTTTGGTGCAATTACGTTCAGGGTGGTGTAGTCGTCTCAATTCGTATTGGACACGAATTGACGAAGATGTTTGTGACGTCTGCCCGGCGTGTGATACAGGCCCGCACAATACGCTGCACCTCTTTAATTGCACAGCCAAACCCACCCATCTAACTCCAGAAGATCTATAGTTACATCCCGTTAATGTAACCGAATTTTTAAACCTGGAGCTTGAACCAGATTAGCAGAATATAAACATCCACATATACTACTGCTACAACAACAACTGCAGGCTCTGTCAAGATAAGGAGGAAACTGGAACAGTGGAAGATTTACTCTCTGCCACCCTCCGACACTCTTTGGTGTGAGACGGACGGACACGACATTCTGTCTTCATTCTCCGACACACTGAACCAGCAGTCCTTCTTCAGTTACCCAGAAGACTATAGTGGATGAAGACAACACGTTAATTTCTTCGAGGATTACATACCACCTTTACTTTTCTTGCCCTGTACCCCTCTTTTCTTTTCTTCTATTTTCTTAATTTTATGATGAACACAATGGAGAAGTAGGTCTCCGAATGGATTAGTAGTCTCAAGAAATGTATGCATTCTTTAATATAACCTTCGTGGTCCTTTGTGAGAAATGTGATTTACCCTTTCAAATTTATTTTCCAATTTATGTCCTCATTCAAGGGTTTTGAAGGACGGCTCAAGTTATCTAAAATAAAAAAATCGTCTTTAGTTGAGAATTCTAAACAATATTTATAGTCCTTCTCTTAGGAAAGTAGTCCATCATTTGTTGATCACTTAGAGAACCTGCTTTGTAGGATCCCCGACATTAGTAATGCAGTTAAATTCATAGGTCCCATTAAGTCCTTAGTAAATCCTGAGATCAGTCCAACCAAATCTAGTATGGGATTTAGTCCTCATTCCAATTCACTTAAAGAAAAAAGTAAAAAAATCAACTGAAAAAGAAAAAATAGCTTCAGTTCAGATTCTGATATTCAAAAGTGATAATAATGAGGTTATGTTATTATTTTCTTTGCAAAGCTGCAAGAAGAAGATTTCGTACCAAGAGAAGTAAGCTCCAATTTAAAATGAAACAAATGAAGAGACCTACTCTTTAATAACCTCCTCCAACCTTGCTTTCCCATGGTAGTGAAACTAATACCAATAAAACATATCTTCCCCAGGAAACTGTAGCCGTACCAATCTGGATGAGGATGCCTATTATTGCAATAAGGAATTGGTCCAGTTGCTTATTTTCGATGCCAAGGTAACCTACTCCAGTTATGGAGTGTGGAAATTTAAAAATGACGAGGAACGAGCTTTGATTGAACGTTTTGGGGCAAGTCAACGATTTGTGGCCACAATGAGTGGTCTGACGCGTTGGCAATTTATCTATGCCGAAGAGGAAAATAACAATGATCGGGAATTTGGTGATTATCATACCAAGGCCATTGATGAAACGTGGTATCGTAGTGCCATTTTACAACATCACTCAGAGTTGACGGAAACTTTTGTTTATTCGGTGAAACATGCGGCCGATCCGCAGGAGCATAAACAGCTACAGGTTATGGCTTCACATGCGATTTTCCCTCGAGACGGTGGCAAGGAGGCCCCAGCTTGTGTGGTGGGTTTTCAGTTTTCATATGCTCTGATGTATGAACGTTTCTACAATATAACCAGCATGGATAATGTAAGTACTGTTCCGCTTAAAAAATAGAAAAATGGGGAGGTATATTAATTTCGGGTTCTTTTCCAGTGCAATGGCTGCATAAAAACCTGTAACAGCGACGAAAAGGAATGCTATGTCATTGACAACAATGGCTACATTATTTTGGCCCACAATCCCAATCACACGGGTATTTTCTTTGGTGAATATCATGCTGAGATTATGCAGGCCATGGTAGATGCCAATTATTTCAAGGAAATTATTGTCTACGATTATCAGTCGTTGTGTCCGAATAGTACGGATAGGTTCAATGATGCCAATACCATGTTGCATGTAAGTTACAACAGCATCCAAAAATGCAATCATCTTTAAAACCAATTCAAACTTCCTTTTTAGCCCCTGCAATTATTTAGCATGGCCTGGAAATGGCTTGTGGCCAAGGTCTTTTGGCATTACAGTCGCATACAAATGTGGGTCCAGGGAGCACCATGTAAGACACTTCATTACCCTCTAAATAATTATCAAATTTAAATTTCTTCCTTCCCTTCGCAGACCTCGACTACAGTGACAATGTGGAGGATGACTACAGCGGCCTGAATGAACCCTATGTTGAGGTAAAGCCGAAGAGTGAGGGAGAAGGCGAAGAAAAGGAACATATCTTCCACGAACCACCACCAGAACCGGTCTATGTTCCTTGCGACAAGAAAGTACGCCTGTTCACCCTGGATCCAGTCGAGGTGCAAAAGGAACGTGACTTTACACATCTACCCAATAGCCGACCTTTCCATGTTAAGAAAATACCCAATTCCAATTTGTTACTAATAGTCATAGATGTCTTGAAACCCTCCAAGGGTAACATAGATTTGTCTGTCGAACCAACAATGGTGGTATATGATACGGAATTTCCCTGCTATAAGCTGAACATGAGTTTCTATGAGCGTCGACGCATTGAGGAATGTTTTACGGAGGATGAAAATGTAAGTATGGCGGGGATATTTGAGAGATTTTATGGTGGGGAGACGGATTGTTGATTGATACTGAGGAAAAAGAAGGATGCCTGACTTAGTTTTTGTTATTGTTGTAGCAGCTCGTAATGCTTTGTTCGTCCTTATCTTCTATTCTCAGGCTATGTTTCTAACTCCATGTTCAAAAAGAAAGCAACCTTTTTTATATATTGTTATAAAAGGACAACAAGGTCTCCTTGTCCGCACCCCATGTGATGCCATCTAATGCCTTGAGGTGTTTCTTCCTACTTTTCATTTAGTCACAGAAAGCTATTTTTGTCGTTGTTGTCGAAATAGTAAATATGGATGTTTATATTCTGCTAATCTGCTTCAAGCTCCAGGTTAAAAAATTCTGCTACTTTAACGGACTGTATCCAGAGATCTTCTGGAGTGAATTGAATATGAATCACCATACTGAACGTAATTTCGTCAAAACTACCCTGGTGTCTAGGCAGCTTTCTTCAGCTGCAATGGATGGGGGTGGAATCCAAGGTCGGCATACTTCCTGTAATTGCTGATAGCATCTGCGACTGCAAGGGTATGAATACCATTCAGACCTGCCTGATAGGCTTCTTGATCTAGAGGTTCTCCCTTATAGCGCTGGACCTCTGTCTCTCTCTTGATCATGTATGTTCTTTCTGGCACGCCTTGGTGGGAGAATTGTATCCACCATATGATGGTTGGGATGACTCTCACGGTACACCCAAGCAGGTACTTCAACGAAAGCATATGATTATGCTGGAGTAAGGGAAGAACTTTCGCCTTCTCATGTAGCAGCACATTGGCACGCTTCCATTGCGTAGCACTAGTAATTGCAGACCACACTGACCACGGACGCATAGCTGACCACGGACCGGCCTTGAGGACCTTGTTACAAATTTTCATCTTCTCGCAGATAGCTGTGGCTTGCGCGGACGACTTCAACATGCTGTCGAATCTGACCCCTAAAATTTTGGGGTAGTTAATGGTCGGCATTAAATTTCCCTCGACCAGCAAATTCAGCTAGTTCTCCGCACGTCCTCAAACTGTATGACATGATTGACCGTATCAAATACCTTTTATAGGTCAAGTGCTACCAACACTGTTCTGTCACACGGATTGTTCTGGTTCAATCCTCTTGTCTTATGTGGAAATGGTTGCATATGGTTGGCAACTGGAAACCTTTCTCTGATGCTGTGGAGGAGAGTAAAGCCTCAAGAGTCGGTGCTACTGACGCCAAAAGCGAAATTGGTCCGTATGTTTCGCCTTTGCTGGCATCCTTGCCTGGCTTCAGTCCTTTTTTCTAGGCTTCGGGAACGACAGGTTTGGAAACATTTGCCAGCTACTCAACTCCCGGCGTATCCAGTTGTTTAATCATTAAAATTGAGATTCCGTCTAGGCACAACGCATTGAATGACTTAGAGTTTCGGATGACATTTGGAACGTCACCCATCGTAAACTGCGATGGTGCCTCCTCGACGGGAAGAAATCTGATACGATGTAGTACTTGTCGCCCTCGGGAGGTTTGACAATTTTTCGGTTAATATATCAAGCGCATCTCTTCGGATCATCGTTTTTTCACTTATAATATCATAACAGAAGTCAAAATATATTTAAATAATTGAACATTGGCTGGGGGTGTACATTTGTCGGCAAAACCGACTGATATTTTCTAAGTTTTTTTTTTTTTTGCTTCGGAAAGTTGGATTCTAAAGAAAATCCCTTAACAATTCCACGATTATTGTCTTACACATTTCTCAATTGTTTGTTTCCCTTTTCTTCGTTTATTTGCAGGAGGCTCTCTATACATACTGTGGTGATGCATCCTCAATATCACTTAGCATGATTCTGATGAGCATTGGAATGGCGATTGTGCTGCTGGTGCGATTATTACAAGCTTAAAATGGTAGTTCCGGAGAAAAAAAAAACAAATTAACATTATTAGCCAAATATATTTTTGTATAAAGATTGTTTGTGTGAGAACAACATTGTTGTCACAACACTCAATTCCATGGGAGGATAGCCTCCAAAAACCAATTTGCCAAAATGTAAAAGTACCAAAGAAAACGTTTTTTTTTACAAATTTATAAAATGCCAAATGAAAAACGAACCGCCTCTCCGGCGTCGTAAAACGTCCAACGTCCACAAGAAACTAGAACAAAAAGCCTTACACACTAATAGTTAAATGTTTTTTTTTTTTAATTATATTTTTATTTGTTATAACCAACATAAACCCAGACTTTTAGCAAAGGAAAGTCCATTTTGAAAATATATTTTTTTATTCAATTATTTTGTATTGTATTAACAATATATACAAACAAATACTTTAATTTTTTTTTATGGAATTTTTGAATTTTTGTTGAAGAAAAAAATTATTTTTTATACCAAAAAGTAAAGAGATGAGGATGACACCAACCAAAGAAACTACTAGTCTATTACCACCTAAACCAAAAAAAAACAAAACCATATAGCCAAACAAAAACAACAACAACCAAGGAATCCTAGTTATAAAAAATACAACAACTTTAAACAAGAAGCCTTATATTTCTTAGAAATTAAACCAAAACAATAAATATTTCTAATTTTCTTTGTCCAGTTACTTTTTTTAGAACTTAAAAAAAAACAAAAAAACCAAACAAATTATGAAACTCTAAATGCCTTTACCTATATATTTTTTGTATAAAAATTAAGCCAAGCTAAATGAAACGATACGAAGCCACCCCCACTATATTTTCTATCAGAACAACAAACTTAAGTAGTCAATATTAGAGACGAGGAGTAACTCTTTGAGCAGGACGCACAAAAACGGGATTATAGCGATGATAAACAAACAACCACCTCAAAAATATCCCTGACCAAAACAGAAATCCCAGATTCAATACTTAAGAAAAAATAGACTTCAAATCAAAAATAGTTTTGGGATTGGGAAATGTATACTTAAAATAAATAGGAAATTTGCAATTCCCACTCAGAAGAGGATACCTAAGAGATGAGGCCAAATCAGTTTCCATTTAAGCCATATTCAATTTTTTTACAAATTTCTAAACTTGTCTATTTCAAATTTAAAGCAAAACGAGATGCAAAGAAAAAGAAGATTGAAGATAAACCACACAAAATAATAATATATTTATTTTTGAATTGTTTAATAAAAAAATACAAACACACACACATACATATGTATGTATATATATTTAATATGCATAAAAACCCAAAAAAGAAGAATATATTAAAGAAAAATTGTTTTAATCTTAAGTAAATTTAATAAAGACAAAGACCAATTGTTTAAAGAATGCAATTTAATGGCACTGATCTGTGCAATTTTAAAGGTAAGTAGATTGGAAGCCATAATTGTAATTGAAACAAGTAAAAAGGCAGCTTTAATTCCCTCCACCATTTGGAAGAAATATGAATTTAAAAAAATCCATCGAAAAATGGAATTAAAAATTCCGAATAGGAAGTGTTTGTTTTGCGTGGCTATAATAAACAAGTAAAAAAGCGGAATATCCTCCACCATTTGGAACGAATTTGGCAATTTTCAAAAAAAAAAAAAACTTAAAAAATTCTGATAAAAATACCGAATGTAACGTTATATTAGGGAATATATGACGACGTGGACCTGCATAGGCAACTTTTGTCATAAGCCATTACAATATTCAAATGCGATATTTGATGAAAAAATCGGTGAATAATGTCGCTAAAACCATCAAAATACCGAATATCAGGAGGTACCTTTATATGGGGTCTATACGAAGAGCTGTACCTGCATAGACATTTTTCTGTCATAGGCTGTAGTATCCACTACGAACACAAGATACCACATTTGAAACAATTCCGGTGAATAATGTCTCTAATATCATGAAAATACCGAATATCGGGAAGTAGCGTTGTATGGGGGGCTATACCAAAACGTGGAGTTGCACGGACAATTTTCCGCCTTAGACTGTAGTATCCATTACGAATTTCAAACACCAAATTTGAAACAATTCCGGTGAATAATATCGCTAAAATCATCAAAACATCGAATATCGGGAGGTACCGTTATATGGAGGCTATACGAAGACATGGACCTGCACAGACAATTTTCTGTCTATTTTCTGTCACGGACTGTAGTAACCATAAGAATAAATTTTCTGTCATAGGCTGTAATATCCATTACGAACTTCAAATACCAAATATGAAACAATTCCGTTGAATAATGTCGCTAAAACCATCAAAATACCGAAAATAGGGAGGTACCATTGTATGGGGGCTATACGAAGACGTGGACTTGCACAGAAAATTTCCTGTCATAGGCTGTAATATCCATTACGAACTTCAAATACCAAGCTTGATACAATTCGGGTGAATAGTGTCGCTGAAATCATCAAAATACCGAATATCGGAAGGTACCGTTATATGAGGGCTATACGAAGACATGTAACTGCACAGACAATTTTCTATCATAGGCTGTAATATCCATTACGAACTTCGAATACCAAATTTGAAACAATTCCGGTGAATAATGTCACTAAAATCACAAAAATACAGAAAATCGGGAGGTACCGTTATATGGGGGCTATACGAAGACGTGGACCTGCACAGACAATTTTCTGTCATAGGCTGTACCATCCATTACGAAATTCAAATACCAAATTTGAAACAATTCTGGTGAATAATATAACTACACCAAAATATTGAAAATAGGAAGACGTGGACTTGCTCAGACGATTTTCTGTCTTAAGCTGTAGAATCCATTACGAACTTCAAATACCAAATTTTAAACAATTCCGATGAATAATGTCGCTAAAATCATCAAAATACCGAAAATAGGGAGGAACCATTATATGGGGGCTATACCAAAACGTGGACCTACATTTTCATTACCATTTTCAATACCTACTTAATTTCCTTCTGAAGCTAGAGTGATTTCCTCAGGACAGACGGACATCGCTAAATCGACAAAGAGTGTTATGCTGATAAAGAATATATATACTTTGTGGGGTCTAATATGTATATTTCGAGGTGTTACAAACGGAATGACAAACTTAATATACATTCCATATTATTATTATTTGGAGGGTATATTATTTTTACAAAAAAAAATGCTTAGAAATCCTCTATCAGCATCTACATATGATAGGCCTAGTCGGAGGGAATGGTGTGCCCTTGCCGAAAACGGGTGAGACATTTGACATGCCGAATCTGCGTCTCATAAAAATATATATTCTTATAAATCCACATTTATAGGACTGATGGTCCTAGAACAAATATTCTTCAAAAATCCTTGATTATTGCTCTGTTTGTCTTTGAACAAAAAAAAAACATTGATTAAAAAATACTCTGTAAAAGCCACATCTTGAAAAATTATCTATAAAAGCAAAGTCTTCTAGTTTGATGGCCCTTAAAAATATTATTCAAATAATTCACGTTAGCTGCCTTGATAACTGGTCTGATGATCTTGAAAAAAATCCACGTATATTGGTCTGATGGTCCTTGATTGCATCCATGTTTGACCTTGAAAAAATATAATGTAAAAAGTCCACGTTTATAGGACCGATTATCCATGAAGATTTTAATAAAAAATCAGATTGGCCTGGTTGTCATTGAATATTTTCCATAAAAATCTACCATTAATTGTCTGGTGATCCTTGAAAAGCATTATCTAAAATATCTACAACTATTGGCTTGGAGATACTTAAATAATATACTATTTAAAAATTCAAGTTTCTTGGTCTAATGATCCTTAAAAAGTATTCCCTAAAAATCCGCATTTCTTGATATAAAGATCCTTGACAAAATCTCAAAAAACACACGTTTAACGACTCTCCTTGAAAAATAATTTTTTTAAATCGACTTTTATTAGTCTGGTGGTCATTCCAAAATATTCTTTAAAAATCGACATATTTTATGTCAAGTTGCAGCTGATAAAAATATTTTTAAAAACTCCAAAATTTTCTAGCAAAATAAAATATATATTTTTTCAATCCACGTTTGTAGCTTAATTGGTCCTTCAATATATATTCTTTAAAATAAATATGTACGAATAAATTCTTAAAAGCTACTCTTCTGTAGTTCCTTCTAATCAGTGATTGTCGTATGCAACCGTTATGTAATTTTTTAAATTACTATAATAATAAAAATAACAATAAAAATATTTTTAAACATTATCATATAAAAATTAATATTAATTAAAAGAAAAATTAAATGTTTGACTTACCTTACGAGTAAATTGAACAATGTTCATGTTGATTGAAGCATGTATTCTGGAGTATTGAAAATTTCAACATTTTTATTATTTAATTGCTAATATTGATTCTTGAAAACTTCACCAGGATGAGTTTAAATGTTAATTATTCTTACTGTAAATTGATAAGAAATAAATGCTTAGACGATATAAAAACTTAGAATTCTATATACACAGAGAGAAAAGAAATCATATTCGCCCATATCAACAAATTGAATTTCAATTTGAAGAAGTACTTCACGTTCCTGTTCAAGACAGAGTATTCCATTATGTTGCCTTGAACAGATTCTGATACGCATATGTGCTACGAATATGTTTGCTTATCATCTGTACTGTAAAAAAATACTAATTGGCCTTGTAAGAAAATGGAAATTACCTTCACGATTCAAAATTATTCACTTTTGAGTGAAAACAAACAATGTTTTTAAAACAAAACAATTAAAAATTATGTGAGAGCAAATTTTGAACTTAGATTAAACGATTATTCTGTTGCTCCAGCTGTGGCCAAAACACACTTAAAATATTCACTATCCAATTTACGTATATCCTGCGTGAATTGTTCCACCAATTTGGACAGATCGCTTTCATTAATATCTACATTATTGCCCGTTGTCGATAAATTCTCAATGGCTTTGTTAATTTTCTCCAATAACACCTTATCATCGCAACTCTGTTTATCGGCATGTTCATCTTCGAATTCATTGTAGACTTGTTGGGCATGGTGTACAACTTTTTCGGGGAAATTAGCCAAACGTGCAACTTGTATGCCAAAACTTTTCTCCATAACGCCCGGCCTAACTTGATACAGTAATGTGAAATTATCATTGTCTGCTACGGCTGCCATATGGCAATTCTTGACGGTGGGCACAGTTTCGGACAAGTTGGTGATTTCGTGAAAATGTGTGGCAAACAATGTGAAACATTTTGTTTCCTTGGCCAGGTGTCTGTAAGGAGAAAAATGAAAATTAGTGGTATTCAAAATTTATAGTGAGCTAGAAAAACTTACTCGGCTATAGACCAGGCAATACCACAACCTTCATACGTGGAGGTACCTCTGCCCAATTCATCAATAATTACCAAGGATTTCTCGGTGGCAGACTAAAATAAAATTGTTATTATTTTTGACAATTATTTTAAAGAACTCAATCATGGAACTCACCCTTATTATTCCCGAAGTCTCAATCATTTCCACCATGAAGGTACTCAGACCTTTAATAATATTGTCGCTTGCACCAACTCGGCCCAAAATGGAATCAACCATGGAAATTGTGGCTTCCGAGCAGGGAACAAAGCTGCCAACATGAGCCATTAAAACAGCAGTTCCAACCGAACGTATGTATGTCGATTTACCACCCATATTAGGGCCAGTTATGATAAACATATTACAGACGTCTATATGAATGAGAAGGAAAAAACGAAGACAATAAATATAAATTTTTATATATTTCAAAATTTCGATATTTCGAAATTTGCAGGGCCTTGAACATTTCAGTTGAAGAATTACGAAGGGGTTGCTACCAAATCTCTGTTTTTTGAAATATAACTCACACTTTTTTGTACTGAAATTCCTATTTAATGCCAAAATTAGCCGATTGAATGTCTTCTGGTTGACCGCATTCGACTGTTTGGACATTTAGTTTTTTTTGTTTATTTTTTTTTTCTTTTTTTACATTTTTTATTTATTTATTTTATTTTTCATTATTTATCTTTGTTTTGTATTACTTACCCTTTTTGAATTCCACACTATTCGCAATAAAAGATATGTGTTCTTGTAATTCCAAACAAGGATGGCGAATATCTTTGAGCACAAGTTCCCCGGAACCTTCTTCAAGAATTTGCGGCCGTATATATGGTATTGGGGCTGATTGTGCGGCTATAGCAAAGCTAACCAGACAATCCAATTGGGCGAATTCATTATTCAAACTTGTAAGAGGGCTAGCATAACCCACCGCAACTTTGATAATCTCCTCAACAATGGTCTTTTGCTGTTCCTCATACTGCGAACGCAAAGTGACAAATTCATCATTTATGGATGACAGTTTATCGGTCGTAAAACGTATACCTCCCCGCAACACATCGATAATTTTGTATTCCTTATTTTTACGCAAAACCGTATCATCTTTGAGTGTAATGCGCAGGGTGTAGCCCACATTGGGCACATTAACCAATTTCACAGAATTTTTATCCAAATCCAAATCACGATTGGCCTTGTCCTGACAACGTTCCATTTTTTCCAGCAAGTGATCCATACGTTCTTTCATATCCAATAAGTCGGAATCAAAGGAAGCCTTTACCAGATATTCTCCATTCTCGATGGCATCAAAATCCATAACTTGTTCTACCATTTGTTTGAGACCCGACAAATCTTCCAAAAAGTTTTGCATAGGTTCACAAATGACATTTTTCACTGTGGAATTCTCCAAAGATTTCAGCAAATTTATAATCTTGGGTGTACGCAATAGCACCTGATAGATCCGGAAAATATCCTGTAAATTGGCTTTTTTGCGTAGCAACTTTTTGGTTAACATCAAAATGTCGGGTATACGTTTAAGAAAATCTTCGTACAGGGAATTTAAACTATTCGGCGATTCAATGAAGCATTGAACAATGTCATGGCGATCATTTAGAATTTCCCGGCTCCTCAATGGCTGTTTAACCCATTGGGCCATAAGACGATGTCCTTGGGGAGTATTACAACGATCCAATACACCCAAAACACTTTGCCATCTATAGGCAGGAGACGAGGGATGGGTTCCCGGTTTGGGTAGAATATTCAAGGCACTTACAGCTGCCGCGTCCATGTGCACGAATCTTTTCAAATTCAATTGTTGCAGCGTGTAATGGCCCAAATTACTGCTATCGCTCATGAGGGCAAGATATTTTATGGCCAATTTCAAAGCTTCCATTGCTATGGTAAATGTTAATTCCGGCAGACCTGTCGCATCCTCTTGTTGACCCTTATTGAAACGTAAAAGTTTATTTAAATCTTGGATCAAATCATTCTTTTCGGAGGCCATTTGAGATTTAGATGCAACTGTAACCATGATGCCGTTACGTTCCAGCAGATTTTTAACGGCTTCATACTGCAATAAAAATTAGATAACAATTTACAAAGTTCAAGACATTTTAAATGGAAATGCCACTCACCTCTCCCTCCTGTGAAGGCAATAGACACTCCTTGGGACCCAGCAGAACAACCGTTGCCTCCAACTCCGTTAAGAAATCATCATCAACAAATTCCAATACCTGAAATAGGCAATCATTTTGTTCCACAGCCACAACACCAATATTCCTGGCATTATTGTTCATTCGCATTTGCAACGATAGAATGCTGTTGCCCACCAGTTCTTCTTTATTGGTAAAAATGATATCCTCAAATTGCAAAAGATTACCCGGCGAACCACGATATTCCAAATTCCAATTCGCGTTACCGGTCGCACTACGAACATAGACTTCAACCCGATAATTTCGAACAAGTAAAAGTTCACGAACCGCAGATTCAAATTTATTTTTATACAATGTAACGTGGGGTATTGAGGTGGCGTCATCAGGTATCATTTCCGTAATGTAGGCTGTGGATTTGTAGACCATACGGGCTATAAGATTTGCATCATCTTTGCCATGAACCGTATAGCAATCGCTGTGATCGAAGAAGCGTACAGTAGTAGAGGGTTTCTAAAAAAAAGAAAAAGGGGGCATTAATGTTAATTAAGTTGAAAGTGCGACAGTATAGTCTTCCATATAGTCTTGATCGGAATTATAACCATCATAATAAAGAATTTGGATTTGGCTGATCATTCATACAGCTCACATACTAGATTAGCACATCAACCACAAAACAAAACAGTCATATAATAATATTAATTTTATATTGCTATTTATCGTCCGTCCTTAGGCCAAGATCTGGAAGACAAAATACTAATGCAAGAACCCAAGTCCTTTTTTAAACAATTTATCACTTTTTAATTCATTTTTAGACCTTTTAGACAGAACGAATTGCTTTCCTTAGAAGTGCGAAGGTAAGAATCTTCCTTTCGGAAACAAGCCAACTGTTGCCCACTCACCTCACCCAAAGATTTGAAGAAGCGTATAAAATTTCGCCTGGAATTTGTATCCATATTCAACTGTGGAGCCTGTTTATCCATTTTCTCAACACTTTTGGATTTACAAACAATAATTAAAACGAAATTTATTAACAAATTTGCGCCACTTCTTCACAAAAAAAACGAACTGACGCTTGCAAAAATAAACTAAATGAGATATGGCAACTATGCGATCATATGGCATCTCTGAGAAGAAAATATAAATCAAGATAGAGAGCGATCCGAACTACATCCGATGGTTCTTTCGAGAGAATCTTTTTTTGAACTGGTTTTTACCGGTAGTCTTTTGCTAACACTGAATTATTTTAAAAGAAATATTCGATTACATTAGTATGAAGAGCGTGAAGAGCAACAATTTTATCTTCACCTCTCCCCATTATTGACTGAGTCGCCGGCAAAAATAAATTGAAACTAGTTCATTTGCTCAAACAGTGAATATTCCAAAGCTTCAATCGTCATTTGTTTGTTTTGATTTGTATTTCCTTATGCGCTCCTACTTCGTTGCTTTATTTCTAACGGCGTTACGGCAAAGAATTGCTGCCTTGTAGTCTGTTTCTTGAAAAACGGGTTTAATCAAGATAGATCTACCTTGGGTGAAGATATGATTGCAAAATTCTTCAATTTGTTGTCATCTGCAAATCACTGAGCTCTTCTTCAAATCTATATGTGTGTGTGTCAAGTCCAAACCTGGTTTCGTCTGCAGATACATCAATCAATGCATTGAACCAGTAATAAAATGGTACCACAACTCAAGAGACGAATTTGTAAAACATTGAGTTTGGAAACATATTTGATTGTATTTGGCATTGCATCTCTGATCATCTACTTCTATATACTTCGAGCTGACATTGAAAAGGGTGGATGGTTGGTGGCTGATGATGTGACCTTGACTCCGGATCCGTTGTTAAAATTTGAAGCCCGTGTCCAGGAAAAATGCCTGAGTGAAAAGGTGGAGAAATCCCCCAATGCTTTGTTAAATCTTACCATTGTGGATGGGGATGAGGATCCATTGAATTCGCTGGGTATTGTGCGAAACAAACAGGACAAGTATATACGTGACATTGGCTATAAGCAACATGCCTTCAATGCCTTGGTCTCGAATAATATTGGTTTATCTCGCCCGGTGCCTGATACAAGACACAAAGTATGCCCCCGCGCTGTGACCCAGCCATCTGAAACACTGCCAACTGCTTCCATTGTAATGTGCTTTTATAATGAACACAAAATGACACTATTCCGTTCCATAAAGAGTGTAATCGATCGTACTCCAGAATGGCTGCTGAAAGAGATAATATTGGTGGATGATTACAGTGATTCACCAGAATTGGAATTCCATTTGGTGCCCGAATTACATTCCCAATTGCAATATGATAATTTGCATTATATTCGCAACACCAAGCGGGAGGGTCTCATTCGCTCCAGAGTTATAGGAGCCCATGAGGCAAAAGGTGATGTCATCATCTTTTTGGATTCACACATTGAAGTTAATCAGCAATGGGCCGAGCCATTGCTGCGTTTGATACGTGACGAGAATTCGACATTGGCAGTGCCAGTTATAGATTTAATAAATCCCGATACATTCCAGTATACCTCAAGTCCCCTAGTACGTGGGGGTTTCAATTGGGGTCTCCACTACAAATGGGAGAATCTGCCGGATGGAACGCTTAAGGATCAAGAAGATTTTAAGGGTAAGAGAGTTTCCTATGTGTAATATGGGCCATGTAATAATGAAATCATTTCCATTTCAGGTCCCTTCAAATCACCCACCATGGCTGGTGGTTTATTTGCTGTGAATCGCAAGTATTTCGATTATATTGGCAGCTATGACATGGGCATGGATATCTGGGGTGGTGAGAACTTGGAGATCTCTTTTCGAGTATGGCAATGTGGAGGGGCCATTAAGATTGTACCATGTTCTCGGGTCGGCCACATCTTTCGAAAACGCCGACCCTACTCAGCCCCGGATGGCACCAACACAATGATGAAAAACTCGCTACGTCTGGCTCATGTCTGGATGGACGACTTCAAACGTTTTTATTTGATACATGAAAAAATCTCACCAAGCTATGATTACGGCGATATCAGCGACCGTTTGGCCTTAAGGGAGAAATTGCAATGCAAATCATTCGATTGGTATCTGAAGAATGTCTATCCCGAATTGCGGATACCTGGCGAAGAAATCATCAAAAGTAATGGAAAACAACAGCAGCTACCAGTTTTTCAGCCATGGCATTCGCGCAAACGTAACTACATTTCCACCTACATGTTAAGACTCTCAGGAACAAAATTATGTGCCTCCGTGGTGGCACCCAAAGTAAAAGGCTTTTGGAAAAAAGGCAGCTCTTTAGTATTACAACAATGCCAACAGGGCAGAAATCAGCTATGGTATGAAACGGATAAATCCGAATTAGTTTTAGATCGCCTCTTGTGTCTGGAGGCGATTGGTGATACCCAGGTTGTGATTAACAAATGTCACGAAATGTTGGGCGACCAACAGTGGCGTCATACCAAAAATGAACGTAGTCCTATTTACAATATGGCAACTGGTACATGTCTGCGGGCCGATAAACCTCAGGCAGGGGCAGCTTTTCAAATGGATTTGTGTGCCAAACACGAATCGAGTGCATGGGATTTGGTGGAAGTTCTGAATACGTAGCCCCCCAAAGAGCAACTCACAGAGAAATTAAGTCTGAACTGAGTTCAAAAAGCCACAAAAAGACATTTTTTCCACTGTATATAACGTACACAAAACAACAATTCCACTCAAATATTTTTTTGATATTATTTCATATTTTTTTAAAGACTTGTTTTTTCGAATTTTTACGTCCAATTATTGTTTTATAAGTAGATATACATATTTTTTATATATCTTTTATACTGCTATAAAAGTATCGCATGATTCTTTTTTTATTTTTAAGATAAAAAAATAACAAAATAAAGTATATTTTTCACATAAAAGGGTTTGTTTGTGTGGGACGGAGTGAATCCTGCATTAAAGTGTTTGTCATACAGACAATGGAAGAAGTTAGCGGTTGAATAGACCTCAAGACCTTCGACTCAAGATTATTGCCCCCGATCTGAGTATAATTTTCAGTGCATTGGCTGTATTCAAGGCAGCCAGAACCAGTTCAAATGTGGAAAACCATAAGTGGCTATCACTAGAGGATTCCAGCATTTAAATGTGAAGAAATCTTTTGTGTCTCGTAACATCGCACGTTACCTTGATACTGGTAGGTAGCCCGACGTCAAGGAAGTGGACGGAAGAAAACACCAACATCAGCAGAAATGGTTCGAAAAGTAAAGAAGCGACTTGATCGAAACCCGCTTCGCAGTGGCCGAAAAATGGCTCGTGAGCTGAACATATCGCAATATTCCATTCGGCAAATATTGAAAAACTGAGCTCCGGGTAAAGCCATTGAAATTCCAAAAAGTGCAAGAACTTACACCGTAACAGAAAGAAAATAGACTCAAAAGAGCTAAAGAGTTGCTTCGCTTGGCCGAAAGTGGTGAACTGCCATATTTGGTTTTCTCCGATAAAAAAAAACATTATTTGTCCAGCAGTTTGTAAACAAACAAAATTATCGTGTTTATTTGCCGAAGAGGTCAGCTGAAAATGTGCACCTTCGGTTGTCCACCTGAACTCAAACGCCGGCCATGGTCATGGTTGGGTCGCCATAACAGCCGATGGCCGCTCTCCGGTGGTATTAATCTACCGTGGGATCAGAATAAATGACGAATATTATCGCGAAAATATTCTGGAGGGTGTAGTAAAGCCTTGGGCACGCAAACATTTTGGCCGCAGACCTTGAACAACAATGGTTGCAAAATGAGGTTCCTCGCTTCATTTCCAGCTCACAATGACCACCAAAATCTCCGGATACCAAGCCGTTGAACTATTGTGTCTGGAGTATTTTGGAAAGCAAGGTTGGCACTAAAAAATACCAAAGTGTCGATCACCTGAAGCAAGCGCTTCGCCTGGAATGGGCCAAAATACCGCAGAGCAACATTCGGGCAGCGTGTGACGGTTTCATTATTCGTGCCAAAGGTGACCAATTCGAACAAATCTAAACTTATTCTAAAATTTTATACTATTTTCCGACATTTTTTTCCGAAATTTTCTTTCCATCCACAAGAAAATCTTTTTATACCCTCCACCATTGTATTTAGTCGTATAGATCCTAATATAACGGCTACATTGGTATTTTTATGATTTTACAAGAATTTTTAACGGATTTTATTTATTTATTTATTATTTTTTTTTTTTTTTTGAAAATTTCCAAATTTGCTACAAATGGTGAAGGGTATTCAAAGTTCGGTCCGGCAGCTTTTTTTACTTATAGTAGTTAAAATTTCCCCAAGAAGTACTCCACCATACAGATCGGAAGTTTTAATTTCAGGAAGTGCAGTCGTTTCCTGATTGTTACAAATTCCACATTCATCCATTGCCATGGAAAAGCCACCCAAGTCCTTTTGAAATACACACACAGGAATAACAATTCAGCTCACAAAAAAAAAAAAAACAATTTCTTTCAATCTTTTATTTTTTCTTACTATAACTACCATTTATTTAACTTGTTTCTGTTGTTATGGTATATATCCTTCTAGCCATACAAATTGTTTTAACCAAAAACCGGACGCATCACTTCAAGGCAATGCTTTGCATTTCAAATTACCTTCATAGCAAAAATTGCAATTACAGTTGCCTGACAATTATTAGGCCTCTCTTTCAATTGTCAATACTTTGCAGACGATTGCAATTAATTTTGAATTTAGAAATATTATGTACCAAAATATATGTTTGTTTTTTAAATTATTATCATTTTGGTTTTTATATATTTTTTAAAAATTATTTGTTCGTGATGTATTTTAAACGAGTGTTTTGTTTTTGAGAAAAAGAAGTATCGAGAGTAGATTTCTAGTCTATATAAAGTGTATGGTTTGATATTTTGGGGTTATCGTTCTTGTTGCTGTTGATTGGCAATTGATTGAAATTCAATTTTTGTCTGTATGAAAAATGTTTGTTTTAGCTAAAAAGTTTAGTTTTTGTTTTACTTCTTCGAGCACTATATAAGTTATGGATGTTTTCATTGTTGTTCACATTTTAAATATTATGCGTATATTTTTTAGACTAATATTCTAGATTTTTTGTTGTTTTGTTTTTCACCTTGTTTTATAATCAATTTTTTTATACTTATACATAAATAGTTGTTATATAGTTCTAATTATAATAATAATAATAATAAAGTGCTTTTGTTTGGTTTCACAGACAAACACAGGGGAGGAATAACTGAGTGTATATATATAAATTGAATTGGTTTTTAGAATTAATATACAATGTGTAAATAACTTTCAAACAAACAAAAAACATTACTTCATTAATATATAATAATAATAAAATTAAAAAATATATGCATATACGTGTATGTGTGTGTGTGTGAGGGAGGAGGAAACTAATAATATTAACAAAGAAAGATATTTGTTAGGCGGCGTCATTTGCTTAACATGAGCATTGATCCTTATTGTTGGGGGCCTCATTTGTCAGTGAGGTTCGTCCCGGCTGTGATGGACGATGCTGTACACCCGATTCGGAGGCATTGAGATCTAAACGTCCCTCCTGGATATTCTGATAGATGCGTCGTGCTGTTTCCAGAAAGGCTTCCTCGACATTTTGTCCCCTAAAATGGCAAATATAAACATTAAAAGATTTCCTCCCTTTTTGAAATTCGAATTTTCCCCACTTACGTCATAGCACTCGCCTCCAAAAACATTAGACCATTTTCTTTGGCAAACTCCTCGGCCTCTTCGTATGTCACCTCTCGTGTACTTTCCAAATCGGATTTATTACCAATGAGGAATATAACAGTATTGGGATTTGTTAAATTACGTGTATCTGTTAGCCAGCTGCTGAGATGATTATATGTCGATCGCCTGGTAATATCGTATACCATTAAAGCACCAGCAGCACCACGATAATAGGAACGTGTCACAGCACGAAAGCGTTCCTGGCCGGCAGTATCCCAAATTTGTAGTTTGATCTTCTTGTCATCTACCTCAATGATACGGGTTCCGAATTCCACACCAATTGTGTGGGGACAATTTGCCATGACTGGAAAAGAAAACAAGAAGGCACATTAAAAGTAATTTTTAAAATGAAATAAAGAAACATTTTTGGAGATCATTTGGATACAAAAAACACCAAGTTTTGGGCAAAGGAAAAGAAGAATAAAATTCCTTTTTTATTAATGTCAATACCAAAAACTCAAAATCCTTAAGAGAATTTATCTTTGACATATTGCCAATTTTAGTTTGTATCTTAATTCAGCAGTATCTCCAAAATTGTCTTTACTTACATTTCTTTTCTGTGAACTGATGGAGAATACATGACTTTCCCACACCCATATCACCAATAATAATGTATTTGAAAATATAGTTGTAATTATAGGGCGTCGATGACATGGTTGGATCTGGAAAAAAAAGAAAAAAAAGGGAAAAATGAGAATAACATTTAATTTCCAAATTAAACAAAAAACATTTAAATAAATTGTAATATTTCCAAACTTAGATCTATATACATTTTTCATAAATTTCATCGAATCCTTTACAGAAACGATTAAAAATAACAAAATATTCTTTTTCGGCCATCATTTTCTTAAACAAATGCGTTGGCACAATTCTTTGGAACTGTCGCCGTTTTTTTCGTTGAATATTTGTATCGACTTTAAAAACCAAATGGTTATCAGTAAGTTATTTGCATAAAAAGTAAGGTGTTGTGTTTGAAATACTTCGTTTTCAAAGTTTTATGTTAAGGAAATGTAAAGCAGTTGCAAGAATGCAGGGGCGTAGAAAATGTTTGAGCCATTGAAATAGTTTCTTAAAAACAAAACAAGACATTCGATTTAAAAATATTCACAGTTATAAGACCAGATTTTAGAAATTTGAGCCAAAAAATTTATGATCAATATGTTAGACAATTGGTAAAAAAAACTCAAAAAATATTGCCAATATTTGAATATAAAACAAGTAAAAAAGCTGTAAGTTCGACCTCGATGAACTTTGAATACCCTATCCAAATAACAAATTTAAAACAATTCCGGTGAATAATTTCGCTAAAACCATCAAAATACCGAATATAGGGAGTTACCGTTATATGGGGTCTATACCAAAACGTGGACCTGCACAAACAATTTTCTGCCATAGGCTGTAGTATCCAAATACAAAATGTGAAACAAATCTGGTGAATAATGTCGCTAAAATCATCAAAATACAGAATATCAGGAGTTGCCGTTATATGGGGGCTATACGAAAACGTGGACCTGCACAGATAATTTTCTATCATAGGCTGTAATATCCATTACAAACTTCAAGCATCAAATTTGAAACATTTCCGGCGAAAATGTCACTAAAATCATCAAAATGTCCAATATCGGGAGGTACCGTTATATGGGGGCTATATGAAGACGTGGACCTACATGGCCCATTTTCAATACCAAAAGTCCTGCAGACATAATATACATTTGAGTAACATTGGGGAAATGATTAAGTATATAACTTTGAAGTGTCCATTTTTAAGAAGAGCAGCGAAAATGCTTCTAGATCAATGATTTCGAGAAAGCAAACTCATATAGTTATTAGATTTATAGTCACTCCAAGGTGAAATTGGTTTGGGACCACTGTGGGGAAATGGTGTAGGATACAATTTTGTGGTCTTGATGTTTGGAAAGAGCATCGAAAATACTTCTAGACAAATGATTTTGGGAAAGCAAACCGATCGACCGATTAAATTATATTTAATATGGTAAGCTCAAAGAAAAATTTGGTTTGGGTCCACTGTTCAAAGATACAACTTTATGTTATCCATTCTTGAAAAGAGCATAGAAAATGCTTCAAGGCCAATGATTTTGGAAAAACGAACACATTGAGAAACCTGAAAATAGTCAGACTTGAATTTCAACATTTAAAAGTAGGCTTAAACATGTATAAATGTATATCAAAGTAGAAACCTATAGAATTAACCTTAAAGAAAAACGTTTATAAACCAGGAGACAGGTCTTTAAACAATTTAAAACCAGGAAACTGTTTTGTTACGACTATTGGACAAAACCTAGGTTAGAAAGTGCATTTTAACAAGACTCAAAAAGTATCAATCTGTTTTGCCAATATATTCTGACTTCGAACCTTTATTGGGGAGTTTCCAAAGTAGTGGGTCAATTTGGTCCATTTCGTACCTGGCCTAAGTCTGATATAAATATTACAACCTGTCAGATCTGGACTGCATCGATTACTTCCTTCACTTTATATGAGATGTGCGCAAATTCACACCTGACCTTGGGTTGATAAAAATATTGTGATACGTGTAATTTGAAGATAACCGGATGTTTATTTCGGATCTTATGATGGTTTCCTTGGGTTTATAATCATCGGGAAATGTCATAGGTATCAGATAGATTTCATAGAAGTGCAAGAATTAAAAGTTTTTACTATGATAAACAATTTTCCCTTTATGATACCGAAGAAAATTGCAAAACTAGTTGATTCTTGCAGGTACTGAATTTGGATCCCTTTGGGGTAAAGTTAACAGAAATAAAATGATAATAAAATTACGAAACACCAACCAAACTGACAGACGGACACCCCTAGATCGACTCCAAATGTCCTGAAACGGACGTGGACATTTGGATTAAGCTACGATCGCTTTCATAAATTACAATTTGTTTATTCTTTTCAATTAATAAATGTTGTTTTCTCTATAGATTACATTACAGTATTTATCAAATTCCTTGTGCGCATTTCGGTCGTTGGTGTGATTGACTGAGCTTGCCAAGGCATTGATTGCTTTTGAATTATTGCAAATACAAATTGATAATGTGGGAAAGTGATCTAAAGACAATGGTTTTAAATTGGTTAACTAACCGCACAAGGGAGATAAGAGAGATGCAGCAATGCAATGGAACTGGTTTTATTGTATTCCAAAATAAAATTTGCATTAATTGTAATGCAGAAGAATTAATTATTCTGGTTTTGGAAAGGCTCTAACCATTATCAGAGATCGTTTCCTAACAAATCGAATGTCTAGAAATATGCTAAATTACTTTTTTTTCTGTAACTAGTCGTGACTGGCTCATATACTGCTGACTTCGATATTTAAGATCTATACAAATGGGACACTAACACAGTGATAACTTGGGTTTTTTTGAAATGACAACGAAATGAATTGAGGGAAATCGAAGAATCTAATTGGGCAGAAAATGTCTTCGAAATTTAAATAAAGTATAAAGAATGCCATTGCTTGAAAGTCTGATGATTTGCGGGTTTCATTTAAAATCCCAAGATTCTTTAGGGATTTCGAATCTTCTCACCGCAAGCACAACTGCACTAGAAATTAGGAATTAAAAAATCTCAACATATTCCCCTCCTCCGTTATCGTTTGTATCCCATGTTATCGAACATCAGTGTAGTACACTTTTAACCACTACTGTGCGTTTCAATGAAAAAGGGGGTGTTGTCGGGTTGATGATGACCAACTATCCCACAATAACGGAACAACTTCCTCATTGTTTGATTTTGTCTTAACAACGACTATGTCCACAAAACGATATTTCTTCAGAAACACGACACTCATCGTACAAGAAAAAATGATTCATATGACAAGCGAACCCATTGAACCTGTATGAAAAATCATTAACATATACACATGCACAAGAAAAATAACAAAAAATTATTATCTTACCTCTTTTTTTGTTGTTCTGTGATGTATGTGGAGAGATATGGAAATGAAGAAGCGTAGAAATCAAGTACTGAAGATTTAGATTTTGTTTTAACACTGAAGTTTGATGTTTTTTCTTTTGGTTTCTATATACTTCTTTTATTGTTGTTGTCGTATTGATTATATTTTTTTGTTGTTTTGCAACTATTGCGTTTTGCAGTGTTTCTTTTGTTCAAGTGGAATGTCAGGAATATGAAAATGTACACAAGCACTAGCAAAAAATTATTATTTCCCTTGCCCTTTACCGTAGATTAACAATCAACGCTGATTCGGGTTTTTCTTTGCCGATATATTCCGTTTTAATTACAATTCACTTTGGTTTTGCATGGGGTTTTTTATAAAATTATTTTCACACTCTTGCCCGTTTTGTTTCGTGTATATGTTTTTTGCAAGTCTCCTAGCGATGTGTTAACGCAGTCGATAACTAGTTAATATAAATACGACACATATGATATGGATATTGTTATCGTTAAATGTCATGTCATGTTCATACGTTTCTCTGATTTTGTTACCTTGCAATTACGCTCACAAATGTTCTGTTCAAGGAATTGCATTCATGCAAAAATCTTTCCATGGTAGAAGAATATAGGTAGACGCATCGACGCAGCTGCTGGGGCAATGAACTGTCAAACGAATTTTGGAATTGTAAATGTTGAATGAAAAATTATTTAAATTTGTAAAAATCGTTGAAAAAGGCCTTTTATAATAACCTCCGAATGACGTCGTATAAGAAAACATATAAAAATCTACTTATATTTGAAAAGAAATTTAAAAATTTTTGCTCCCAAGCGTTGATGCATCTACCTGTATTTTTCTACCATGAATCTTTCTACAACAACTAATTTTATTCTTTTTAAAATTAAGCAAAAGAAAACTCATAGATTTTTAAAGGTTCTGGAAAAGTAAATAAAATATTTTGAAAAGTAAACAGACAAAATCTTTTTATTTTATAAAAATTAAAAAGAAATATAGCCAAAACTACAAGAATTTCCAATGGTGCAATTTTATTAAAAAAAAACTACCTGGAGTCGCTTTATTCTACACAAACTTTTGGGTTAACAGACGACTTCCAATCATATGATTACAATTTGTATACCCTCAGCGACATGGCTAGAGAGGATTCATATCATTTGATACGCCAAAACCTACCTCACCGATATAACGGTTTCAGACCCTGGGTCTCTTCGGATCAAATCCGTTTCATGACATTGTGTGTCGATACGATAACTCTCGATTTGATCCATACTTGGTACATGGTAATATTCATGGTACAATGAATTCAAGGTAGGGCAGAACAACCATATGATTTCAATTTTTTCATTTTTCTGGCTTAATATGTCAACTTCATTTGTTTATGTGTGTGTATTTTTTCAATAATAAAAAATTGTTCAGGAAATATTCAAATTTGGGTGTTTTCAAAATGCTTATTGCAACGTATACCTCGACAAAATCTACAGTTTTTGTTGCGAAATAAACCATAAGAGATATATAGAACATAACTTTGAAAAGAAATTTTGACCTTTCATTCATTTTTCGCGGTTTGAAATTATTTATTCAAAATAAATGCAACAAGTTGTTTGATTTTTTATTGTTTTGATGCTAATTCTGACATTACAAGCCAAACAGGTAGACCTCTATACTTGCAATTTTTTCAAAGTTGACCTACCTTCTCTTCATTGTACCATGGTAATATTATTGTCAAACCTAGATCGAGCTTGGAGATGAGCAATATCGGTCCACTAGTCTAGTACTTCCCTAGCAAAATTTCAACATTTTCAAAGAAAATGTTTTACTGCACGGAAGGAGAGAAAAATAATCCGATTTGCCTCCACTTTGAAAATCTTAATATTTTGTCTGTTCTTGGTCATGTGGTCAAAATTGTGATTAATTATAACTTTTATAAAATGTGAACCAACAGTCCGATTGTCCTCAAATTACACACATCACAATATTTTTATAAACCCAAGATCTGGTGAGAAGATTGAATATATTGGTCAGTTCTAGTACCTCTCTTAAAACGCGAAATAAACATTCGATTCCATTCAGATTTAGCACAGCTCGATATTTCTTTCAACACAAGATATGTCATAAATATGGTAGAGATCGGATCATTCCCTCGGCTATTCTATTCTCTCATCCAGAACCTGCAAGAATCGACTTGTTTTAAATTTTCTTTGATGTCATAAAGGTAAAATCGGTTATCGTAGTAAAATCTTTTACATTCTTGCAATTCTGCATGGCACATGACAGTTCTGGAACAGACCACTGTACAGCTTACAGGTTCTGGAACAATGCAACAATTCTGGAACAGACCAATAACTGCAGATTTTGGAAATTACCAAATGTTTAAATTTGTTATGTATTTGCCCATATTCTTCTACTATGCATATTGAGGCCACATTTAACATTCATTATAAAAACACGTCTATTGTTCCCATATGATTTTCGATACCATTTCCATAGTTCTTACTCTTTGCTTTGTTTATATTATCGAAAATCGATACAACAGATCCACGTGCATGTGTGTTTACATGCAGAGGAGCTTTGGATTCAATTCATTTGAAAAATTGGGATTTTTCTTTAAAAAACAATTAACAATCCAAGAATAAATCACAACATATGCAAATATGTTTGTGAATGAGGTGAATGATGTTAAAATCTATAATCTTAGTGCGGGTAAATCGGTACCAGAAGTAAGTATTTTATTCTCTATATATTTGAGATGTTATGGTCAATAATATTCTTCTTTTTCCAGTGGCTCACCGATCGCCGCAAAAGATCCCAGCTTATGAAAAAGGTTGACTCACGTCGACAAATTGAGCTGATACAGGATTTTGATATGCCAGGAGTATGCACGTCCATACGTATGTCTCCTGATATGCAATACATCTTGGCAACAGGCACCTATAAGCCACGGGTGAAATGTTTTGAAGTCAGCAATTTGTCCATAAAATTTGAAAGATGTTTCGACTCTGAGGTAACCACCTTTGAGGTGATCAGTGATGACTACAGTAAAATGGTATTCTTGCAATGCGACCGTTATGTGGAGATTCATGCTGCCCATGGTCGTCATTATCGTCTGCGTATACCCAGATTTGGTCGTGACATGAAATATCACAAGCCTTCGTGTGATCTTTTCATTGTGGGCACAACCAAGGAAATCTATCGTTTGAATTTGGAACGGGGTCAATTTTTACAGCCTTACGAATCGGAAGCTTCATGCATAAATGCCTGTGATGTTAGCTCAGAACATGGCCTTCTGATGGTGGGCACCAAGGAGGGTACAGTCGAAGCCTGGGATCCAAGAACCAAGACGAAATGCTCCACTCTAGATGTGGCCATTAAATTGCCAGGTGTCAAGGAATTTCCTTCGGTGTCAGCATTGAAATTTAAAGATGGTCTTCATATGGGTGTGGGCACCAATTCCGGTCACGTGTTGCTCTATGATATTCGTTCAAAGGAACCTCTATTAGTTAAGGATCATTTGAATAAGGTTCCGATAAAACGATTGGCCTTTAATCAAAATCATAATGCCGTATACTCCTTGGATGAGGCCATGTTGAAGCTGTGGGATGAACAAACGGTGAGAAATGCATAATTAAATTATTACTTGTTTATCTTAATGAACATTTTTCCTTTGCAGGGCAAACAAATTGCTTATATTGAATCTACGTCGTCCTTTAATGACTTCTGCACTGTACCCGATACGGGCATGTTCTTTTTGGCCCAAGAAGATGTGAAAATGTTGACATTCTATGTACCAGCCATGGGTCCTGCGCCCAGATGGTGCTCATTCTTGGACAATTTGACAGAGGAAATCGAATCAGAAGTTGTGGAAAATATGTATGACGATTACCAATTTGTTACCCAAAAGGAATTGGAAGAATTGGGTCTGGAACATTTGATTGGCAGCAATTTATTGAAAGCCTATATGCATGGCTACTTTATTGATGCACGTTTGTATAATCGGGCCAAATCCATTGTGGATCCATTCGCCTTTGAGCGATTCCGTAAAGAGAAAATCCGCCAAGAAATTGAAAGTGAACGTAAGCCCCGCTTGCAGTTGTCCAGCAAATTGCCGAAAGTTAATCAAGAATTGGCGCTTAAAATCATTGAGGAACAAACCAACCCCACTGCCAAACAGGCTGCTAAACAGGCACCCAATCTCCTGGAAGATAATCGTTTCAAGGCAATGTTTGAAAATACTGACTTTAGTATTGATAAAAATGCTGAGGAGTACAAACTTTTGGCTCCAGTGCTCAATCGTTTGGAGAAGTCAAAACTTAAGGAAATCAAGAAACGCATTGAAGTGGCCCGTGTCAATGAACTGCACGAGGAAGAAAATAAACCTCATGAAGAAAGTGATAATGATGAGGATTTGTTTGGTTTAGAGAAGAGCGATGATGATGATGACAAAGATTCTTCGGGAGCCGAGTCATCGGATGATGAAAATGTTAAGGAGTTCGCCAAAGAAATGAAAAAGGCCTACAAAGATGTTAAGAAACAAAGGAAAGAGGAATTAGAAGATATGGATGTGGAAGAAAATCAGCCCAAAACTTCTCAAAAATTACCTGCCCAACAAACGAACGGTGCTAAACCCAAAGAATTTAAAATGTATTCTTTGCAAACCTCAGCAGAAATGAGTTCCGTAAAACGTGGCATGATGAAAGTTAGTCTCGCTGATCGTGTCTCCAAGGTAGAGGAAACCAATTCGAAAGTGCAAACCATTGGTTCATCGGGTAATCGTCAAATGACATTTGATTTGAAAAAGAAAGATCTGCGCAAACGTGAACTGCAGCTGAAACAACATCGAGAGGAACGTAAAAAACTGATACGACCCATAAAGTCGTTAAAATTAAAGAAAGTTAATTTTAAGTAACAATAATTATTAATGACATGTTTTAAATTAATACAAAATGTTTTTTTTTTGTAGAATATAAACAATAGATTGTTTTTGTATGTAAAATTAAATAAAAATAATAATTACAAAACATTTTAAGAATTTGGAAGGAGATTGGATTGGAAATTTAAAAAGTAGCGTAATTAGAATTGGCCTTTTGTTTGCAGTTACCCGTTGACTTTTTGGTTGTCTAAAGGGGAGAGGGCTATCATAATAGCCAAATCATAAACATAAAAGTTTCATTGTTAAGCAAAGCTTTTATTCTGAGCTGCTGCGGCGCTCTCTTTCTCTGCAATCATGAGTGTCTCAGTCAAAAAAAGCTCTTTTATGGAAATTTTTGTTGAGATTTAATCGAGTATTGAGTTTGCAAGATTGTTTCAATATCTTTCAAGAATTTCTGTATAAATATATGAAGAAACTTTAAGACAATTTCAGTTTGTTTGAAGTTGTGCTCATTGTTTGTTCAATAAAACTACTCAAAGGTAATTTGGGCTATTGAATTGGCAGTGAATTTTAAAATATACCTATGAGAAATTAAATTTAAAACAAAAAATATTGGTGTTGTGAAGTGTTTTTCGTATGATACTTTAAAGAAGTGACTTAGGTTTGAAGCCGTTTTAAATTGAACTTTGATATTAAAAGATTTTGGACATTTGTGTGTGATGGGAAAAATATTGTCACGAAATGTGTGAGATGAAGAAAGGTGTTAATAAGTACAAAAAAGAAGAAAAAATATTTATTTAAAAATTTATTTATTTGAAAATACGATAGCCAGTCCTAATAGGTTGTTCATTTTTCGAATAGAAACGCAACCTTTAAACAAAAAAAAAAAAAACTCCATAACACATAGAATAATCGAATATATTAACTGTGGGAACTTTTTCAATTTTTGTTAATTAATTTAGTTTTAAGTTAATTATAACAAAAAAAAAAAACGAATTAACAAACAATATTAAGGGGACAGGAAGTAAGTGAAGAGAAAGAAGCTGCCGCTTCATGCAGGTTTATTTAGAATTATACAATAATTCTGTAGCCAATAGAATGATTAAATGTTCCACTTTGAATTTGCTTCAGAGAACACTAAGATATAAAATAGTCTCTAGTTCTTCTTTTTCTTCCCACCCTTGATTGATTCGATTTATGGGAAGAATTTCTGCTATTCAAAATATCTGCAATGTTACTTTGGTATTCATATTAACTGGTATTCATATTCTATTATGTACTCATATCTCTTCTTAGATAAAGAACTTTTAAAATATCTTCTGTAAAAATAAGACCCTTCAAGATTCCTCCGAAAAAAAATAATAATTGCTGTGTTCCAGAACCTGCACTTCTACACTTTTGTCGTTCTGGAACAGATCAAATAACTCTAAATTTTTTGCACCCAAAGAAAATATGTTAAGATTTTCTTTAGGGAAGGGACCCTTCAATTATTTTCCAAAGGTTAAGATAAAAGACGTTTCTGGAGGACCTCTAACGGAATTTTATCTTTCAAATGAACCTTTATCAATTGTATTTCATCAAAGAGGTAGAATCTACAGATCAAGACTTATATATGATCATCTGTTGAAAATTGCCAGAATGCAGCCTACTTATTCCATCATTTACAATCAACAAACAATCCATTATTCATAGTCGGAGATTTCCAATATAAACGTGTATTTGTTAAACATACCTCGCCCGGTTTTGGTCTCGCCCGATTTTTGTCTTTACTTAAGTAGGATGGCAGAGGAATACAGATAGATGCATCAACGCTTGGGAACAGTGATGTCAACATTTTTAAAATGTTTTATCAACAAGTAAAATAGTATCAGTCGGATTTTCCGACAGATGTATATCCCCAGCCTTGAGTTATGATTATTCAAACTGTTGACCCTTTAGGGGGGAAGTTCCTAAGACTGATATAAATATTACAACGTGCCAGATTTGGACTATATCGACTACTTCCTTTACCTTATATGAGATATGTGAAAATGTTTGGAAAATGTGGAAGTATGCGTGAGGTAAAGGGTAACAGCGGACCGAAAGCTTCCATTTTCATACTTCATCTATCAGATCAGATAAAAATATTGATATGTGCAAAATTTGAAGGAAATCTTTGTATGCACTTTTATTCGAAATCATAAATTCCAAATTCATCGCAGATTTCTGGTTAAGAAAAATATGTAGATATAGCAAGTTGTGAAGAATCGCCGACTTGTTTCGCAAGTTATGGTAGATATAATCATTGGAAATTGTGGCCCTTAGAGGGTGAGACGTTGGCAGATATATATCTTCTCAACAGACCTTGCGTTAGCATGACAATTTGATGTGTGAAATTCGAAGAGAGTTGGATGCTTTTTTCGCTTTCTTTCATAATCTTGAACCCTATGTGGGGGAGGTACCAAAAGAAATGGTTCGATTTCTACCATCTTTATAACAGATCTTGTGTTGATGGAGATATTGTCTCCAAGTCTGAATTAAGTCGGAAGTTAATTCCGTGTATTATGACCTTCATAGATATTCAACATTTTGACCCTTTATGGGGGAGGTACCAGTAGGAGTAAACCGATATATTTCATCTTCGCACCAGACCTTGGATTAATAAAAATTTTGGGATGTGTGTAAATTGAACACAATCGGACCTTACATCATATTTTATAGGAGTTAAATTTATTAAAAATATTGATCCTTTGTGGGGGAGTACTTGATGGAGTGGACCGATATTGTCTATTTTCGAACCTAACCTAGCACTGATTCATATATTAGGATTTGCAAAGTTGAAGCAAAATGGGAGTGTCCTTTCTCTTTCTGTGCAGTGAATTATTTTCTTTGAAAATGTTGACATTTTGTATGTGAGGTACCAGGAGGAGTGGACCAATATTGCCCATCTCCGAACTCGATCTAAGTTTGACAATAATATAACGATGTACCAAGTTTGGATCAAATAGGATACTCTCTACGAGAGTTATCGTGCTGACCATCCAGCCAGACAGACGGACATCGCTAGATCGACTCTAATAGATTTGGTCCAAAGAGATCTAGGGTCTAAAACCGTTATTACGATGAGGCACGTTTTGGCCGTATCAAATGATATATACCCTCTCTAGCTATGTGGCTGAGGGTATAAAAATAAGTAGATTTTTATATGTTTTCTTGTTGCAAATCGGATGTTGTTCAGATATGAATTTTTCTACAATTTTTACAAATTTCAATATTTTCATTCAACATTTTCAGTTCCAAAATCAATTCTACCATGCTTTAATAGTTAAAGTTTGAATCAATTCGGGGTACATCCTTTGTGTTCAGTTAATGTACAAAAAACGTATATGAGATCAAAAATTGTTATTTCAATGTGGCAAATGTTTTACAGTATCAAATAATATACATCCCATGTAGTCATTGAACTGGGATTATAAAAAGGCGTCTCGACATTAATAACCTTACAATGTTTAATTGAATGGGTAGGGCTACACCTAGTTAGGTTGTTGTGCTAAATCGAGTACCACAGAGCACCAAACCATAATTAAGCTTAATCACGGTTTGAAAAATGTGCTTGTTTAAAAAAATAAATACTTGACCCCTCACGTGACATGTTTTACATGGATACACACATACACAGACTATTGTAAAATGACGGTAATGGTTAAAAACACCATTTGAAAACTAACAATTTATAACGACACAAAACTGTAATCAAGGTTATTACGCGGGTATGGAAACACGATTTGAAAAAAAGAGACAAGACAATGAAAAAAAAAAAGACACCAACAACACAACAGATATTAAAAAAGCAAACTCATAACTTTGAAAAATTACTACAGCAATGTGGAGTGATTCTCAAAAAGTAAAAAATACAAAACAACTATCTGTCAAGTAATTAGGAACACAAATTCAAATGGTCGGCCAAAAGACCGGCAATAAAACCATAGCTGGTTATTAAGTAATTTATCAAAATTTGCAGAACCGGTTCGATTTTTATTTTTTATTAATTCTACAATCATTTGAGACACAAATCTATGGAACACACGACTTGTCTATAGACACCATAAAAAAAATAAAAGATTTGCTTAGATTTAAAACATAAACGTTATCGGCAACTCATTTCCATACAGCTTCTAAGCTACCTGTGAATAGATAGACAGACGTGAGTGTTGGCGTACTTCTTTTTTGTAAACCGGTTGTTTGAAACTGGAATTTGGCGAATTGAAACATTGAACAGCAACAACGTCGGAGTGTGTGTCTGTTTTTGTTCCATTTATTAAACACCGCAAATGTCATTTTCTTTTGAAAGGCCAATTTTAATTGATTTCATGTCGTAGCAATATGTTATGTATGTAAATTACATAGAATTTATAGGAAATGTTTTAAGGTTTGAACAGAACTTTCATATTTTTTAAAAGAACGTTTATGTCTGAAGCTGATTTAATAAGGAAATAATGAGACAGTTAAGGCCGCGTTGCTGAATATTTATTATTTCAAAGTAATTCATTGATAATAGAAAAATAATTAACTTCAACAAGTCAGCCGGGCCGAAATTTGAATACCCTCCACCATTTGTAAAAAAATTAGAAATTTTCAAAAAAATAAAATCCGTTAAAAACAATCCGGTGAATAATGTAACTGAAATCATCCAAATACCGAATATAAGGAGTTACCGTTATTTTGGGGTAATACGAAGACCTGGACCTGCATAAAAAATTTTCTGTCACAGGCTGTAGTACCTATTTGGAACTTTAAATGTAAATTTCAAACAATTTCGGTGTATAATGTCGCTAAAATCATCAAAATACCGTATATCGGGAGATATAGTTATATGGGGACTCTACGAAGACGTAGACCTGCACAGACAATTTTCTGTCATAGGCCTTCTGCTACTCCTCCCACAAAGGGTCAAAATTCTGAATATCTATGAAGCTCTTAAGACGCGAAATTAACATCCGAATCCTTTCAGACTTGGCACTTTGCAATATTTCCATCAACACAAGATTTGCTATGGTAGAGATCGGACTATTTCTTCTGGTATATCCCCCACCAAGGGTGAAAGTTTTGTATAAACTAAACGAGTATAAAATCCGAAAAAAGCATCCGGTTTTCTTCATTTTTCACCCACCCCATTACTTCTACTAACACAAAATATGCTGTGAAGATATCGGTCCACTCCTTCTAGTACCTCCCCCACAAAGGGTAAAACATTTTGAATATCAATGAAGCTTATAAAACGCAAAATGAACATTCAATTCCATTCAGATTTGGTACATCTCAATATTTCCATCAGGATCTGTTGTAAAGATAGGAGAGATCGGACCATTTCTTCTGGTACCTTCCATACATAGGGTTCAAGATTTTGAAAAACAAAACGCTCAAAGAAAGCGAAATAAGCATCCAACTCTGATCTGTGGTGAAGATAATATATATCCGCGAACCCCTTTGGTACCTCACCCACAAAGGGTCACAACTTTAAATGCTTTTATCTGTCATATCTGTCGAAACCAGTCAGAGATTCTTTATTTCTCTCAATCAGAAACCTGAGATAAATATAGAATTTATGACTTGGCATGAAATTGGATAGAAATGTTCGATGTTCTTGTAATTTTTTCCATATCAATATTTTTTCGGTATAAGATGAAAAAAAATATTTCGGTCAACTATATCTGGTACCTCACGCACCTTTTCTAAAAACTATCACATATCTTATGTGAAGTGAAGGAAGTAGACGATGAATTCCAAACAAGACACGACAAATTTTTTTTTATCATATTTATTTAGGTTCGACACGAAATAGACAATATAGGCTCAATCCTTCGGAACCTACTCCATAGATGGTCAACAATTTGAATAATCGTAACAGAAGTTAAAATCTATTTAAATAATCGACTGATACTTTTTAACTTGTTTTTTTATTAATATTAAATATTAAATAACAAATTTAATAACAAAGAACAATATTAATAATAATAATTATAATTAGTTGGCATTACGACGAGAATCTTCTATTTCTGTCTCTCAAAACATTATTATTAAATAATCTATTGTTTTCTTTTTTTTTTTTGGAATATAATTAAGCCTCCGGCTGAATAAGAAGATGGCCACAACAATCAGACAATAAGATAGACAGACAGGAAAGCGTGTTATGTTAATTTTTGCGTGGGATCTTTATTTCGTGACGTATAGACAATGGAAAATTATCTATGTCTTAAGTTCGGCTTTATGTATAAAAACTACATGGCGTATCGATTGAATGATTTTTGTTTCGTTTTTTTTTCTATTTTCAAATTAATCAACAGTTCAAGGTGAACACAACAGATGTGAGTTTGATAAATGATATGAAATTGAGTTGAACATAAAACTAATGGCATTTAAAGGTAATGCAAATTCGATTTAGGTTCATAAACCAAACTTCTAATGGGGGGTAATAAAAGTAGGAAATGTGAACACAAGTTGTTTTACGTTTAGTTTTAAGCGGCTATAATTTTCTACAAAGAGATAGGACGGACAAAAAGCATAGAACACAAACATATTGATATTTCCGTATATTCAAATTAAATGGGTCTGCATGGTTTTTAATTAGGGACAATAACCTGTTTCTTTATAGATACTCCTTGCTTGATTTCTGAGCCAAAATGAAGTTTGAATAACCTTTCGAAGCGGTTCCAACAACATACATGTTTAAATGAATAGACACCCAATTAACAATTACTTTAAGACACAAAACAGAAACATGTTCCACCTTATTGCTACCAAAAAAAAAAAAAACAACAACAATTATATGGCAAAAAATGCATATTGCAATTTGGTCAAGACTGTGTAGCTTTTATTTTTTTTGTTAAGCCAAGGTTAAACGTTTCTCATGCCAATGCAACAATGCGATAAAGACAACGCCAACAACAACAACCCAATACATATGAGAAAAGAAAACTTGTAAATAAATTTAAATTTTAAATTGCAAACAATGAATTAAAAACAAACATTACACGCGACACCTGAAACGACATGTTTTATGTGTCTCCTATCTATCTACATTGAAAACCTGTTAATTTGCATATCAATTTTACAGATCTCTTTGAAAATGTTTCGCTTTCTTGTTATTGCCTGCTGTTTGGCTGCCCCTGCCTTTGGCTATTCCACAGGTGCCCCCAAAGAAATTTGCACAAATGGCTTGACACCCGAACATCATGTTGAACCCCAATCCTCGGCTGTACCCTATTTCTTCTCAGCTGACAGTGCAGTAAAGGCTGGCGATAAGCTTACCGTCAAGTTGGGTGGTGATGAATTCTTGGGCTTTGCCATTCAAGTCCAGGATTCTAACAAGAAACCCATTGGTTCCTTCAAGGTTGTCGAATCAAATAAATCACAAACTCTCACCTGCTCCAAGGCTGATGTAAGTATTATCAAAAACAAACAATCATTGCAATTGTAATTCATTATTCCCTTTTCCCTTGTAGGACACTTTGACCCATGTCAAAATCGACAAGAAAAACATTCCCAACAGTCTGCAATTCCAGTGGGTTGCTCCGGCCGATTTTAAGGGCAAGGCTAAACTGGTTGGTACTGTGGCCAAAAATGGTGCCACCTATTGGATTGGCAAAGTACTTAAGGAAATTGAAGTCCAATAATTTATTTTCTATTTTTGAATTTTTAACACAAAAGCAAATTTAATTCAAAAAAACAAGTATTTTGTTATAAAAATTTATGTGATAAATTTTAAGATTTCTTTTTTAATTTGAAATACATTTTTTTAATTTTAAAATAAACACTAAACCTAACTTGTTGGCAACAAACCTTTGGATAATGGGACCTGGATCAGATTAAACGATGGAAACTAGGTCTAAAACCTCATGGGTAAATTGTATTATTCTCTGGAACAATGGTCATGCTACTTTTAGGGCAGAGTATAAAAAATTACAATACCAAGTTTAAATAATTAAAAAGATTTTTATTTTCAACAAAACAATTTTAATGCATAATGCACCTAATCGGAAAAATACAAGTCTTTTTATGTATACTAACTTTGGTCATTTTCTTCCTTTATTTCATTCTTTTGAATACTCTTATTCGGATTGTATTGGTCGATCCATGAATTCAAAAATTTACTGTACTCTCTTTTACTTTTGCATAGAATAACCAAACTAGAGGGACGACAGCCATGCTGTTTTAATTCTTCCATTCGTTGTTTTGTCGTTTCCAAGCTATGGCATAAAATCCTTGGAACTTGGGCAATTTCATGACGTGTAAACTTCGCTTCATTAAGAAGATAATCCAGGACTTCTTTTATTTTTGTCATACGGACTTTTTTTACCTGTGGATGTTTGTTCATAATACACATTGCTTCTTCGGCATTGAAGCCCAAACGGTCACCAATGTATTCAGCGGGTGTGCGATCACCAAGAATTTCCAAGTCATCTAAAGAAATTTGTAGGGATCTATAAAAAGAAAGGTGATTAAAATATGAACCTTTTATCATGTTTTTAAGCGGTTACTTTTGCAATATTGATTCCGGACATCTGACCATCCATGGCATTATCTTATCCTTCTTGGCTGATATGGCCCTCTTGAGACGCATCTCCACTGAACGTGGAGCATAGCGAAATGCCCATAGATCTTTGAGGATATTTTTAGATTCTACATTGTATTTGAGCATTAATTCCAAATTGGTTTTAAACATATGTAGGGGCATTTCTAAAACAAACAAACGTTTGGCCAGATATTTGTTTACCAAACTTGCCGGTACATGTAATTTGTCGGCTATATAATAAACACGATTTCCAAAGGTTACAAGATCCGCCTCATTGTTCATACTTGTGGCCAAGCGACGCAAACGGGATAAATGTAAACGTAAGAATGGCACAAAGTCATTGATGTCACGAAAACCACGCAAGGACTTGAGTATGGAAATTTTCTCTACCAAACTTCCTAAAGAAAAATATTATTAATGTTTTTATTTACTTAAGCATTAACTTCTATAGTTACCTTTTTCCAAAGTTATAATCCAGGGATATTCCACAAATTGTTTCCTTGTAACCCCCTCCGCCATGAGGATGTCCAATGTGAGCAGCAATGATTTCTTGCGATAATTCTTTGCAACTTGCGGATCTTCCATAATCTGTTGCATTTCCTTGTCACTAAAGCGAAAACGTGTACGTATTGATTCCATCAGAGCCCGGGATGATTGTGACCTTTCATATTCCGGCTTGTAGGGTACAATATATTCACCATCACCCTCTGAGGAGGAATTGTTTGGTAGTGTCTCTGTTTTATGCAAAACAAAAGATGAGGAGAGGGAACGTTGCGAAGAAGCCTTGGTTATGTGGGCATGCCATTGACATTGCCGGGGTTTTATGGCGGGTGTTATTACCAAGGCTCTCTCAAAAGATATTAGAAAATTTCTCCACATTTTTTGGTTCTATCGAGTAGCCTCGATATAGCTGTCTCGGAAGTTTTATCCTGGGATTTGGAGTTAATTCCCGAAATTCCTGACCTTAGTTGCGTTTAATTATATTATCAGTTCAATAATGGAACAAAAAGTGAACTAGTTCTGTAAAGGCATAATTGAACAGCTGTTCTCATAAATCAGTGAAGCTGTGTCTGTTCATTTTGACAGTACGATTTGCTCTGTAGAAGAAGAAGTACATATGAGGAATTTTGTCTGGCTTAAGTCATCAACTGGAGATTAGCATGACCTAGTTCAATTTCGCCCCATAATTTAAACTAGGCCGCTCTTAATACTGTGAACATAGAATAACTTTCATTTGAAATATGACGAGGTCGAGTAAGACGAAGTAAGGTTATGCCACAGATGGTTACAATTTTTAAAAGGATTAACTGTCAAGTGATACAGGATCTATCGATATCGGAATATATAGTCTTACCTTCTCAACAGAAATCCAATCTTTGAAAATAAAGAGCACCGTATCCTCGATTTTATTCAAACTCGACAAAGTCCATTGCGAAAATGGACAATATCGGTACCAACCCCATATAGGTTCAAAATGTTTAAATAATATTTCTCCAGAACTCTGAAATTATTGCCTGATTTTCTTCCAACTATGCACATCTCAAAATTCGTTCCAATATAAGGTATGAAAATGCATATATCGATCTGGATTCCTCTGCAAAGGTTCATAATTTTCCTGCCAACCATATGCCTGGCCTAGACATATTTCTTTTAGCAATATGCCGTAATTCCCTCCATTCGCCCTCTTTTGCAGCATTTTTGAGTAAACAGACATTATCTAATACAATTTGCTAACATTTTTACCACATACCGAGTAAACAGACAGGCCTTGTGCAACATACATCAATCATCAATCCTCTCTCATTCTCTTTCTGTCAACTCTCTGGCGCCTTTTTTCAGTTGTGATAGATTTTGCTTGTTTTCTAGTTGGAAATCGAAGTTACTGTTGATTTAATTAATTTTTATAGACAAATTGTGCTTAAATTGAATTATTCTTAGTGAGAAAATATGTGTTGTGTGTTCTGTGAATAAAATCGTATATTGTGAAATTAAAAACTCAATGGAAAACGACCAACCAAGAAGACTAAGCTTGTAACGTTCATGTAAGTAGCAAATAGTGCAAATTCATTGTCTCAAAAGCAAAGGAAGTTATAGCAGTTGCCTAATCAGGCATCAAGTCACTATGGATTGTGTTTTTTATTTTATTTTGTAAAGTGTCTGAGATTTGGGATGAACATTTAATTTTTAAAATGAAGTAGGAGTTTAAGTAGCATCTTTTTTCATGCTTCTATGATTATTTTCTTGTTATGAGCATGCACGTTTTCAAATTGTCCTCAAACGGCCAATTTCAAAAATGATCATGTTTAGGGGCGCTTCTAGTTAGTTTAAGTGACGGCATTCACAATAGTGGTTATCATGGTGACAGTGCTCAAATGCAGGGGAATTTTTGTTAATTTCACGGCTGTGATCAAAATGTCTAAAATTGTGAATTAAAATAATGAATGAAAATAATGAATTAATTAATTATGAAAACTTAAATTAAAATTTTGGCAACAAAAGTGGTAGTGTTTTTTGTGGTCCTTACGCGATCTGCTTTATGAATTTTGGTTTTTTACATTTCGTCTAAATCTAAAATAAATGACGAACTACGTTATTGTGATTGAAATCACATTAAAAATGTAAACAAAATTTTGAGTTCCTTTGGTCACCTTATTGCGCCGCAGTAATCAGCTGTGTGTGTTTTGCATGAGAACAAGCCGGGGACAGGAGTCAATCAACCAACATAACAAAGGGAAACGCTGGATAAAAACACAATTCTTTCCAAGGCACATCTGTAAAATGGCCCAGGAATTATGTTCTCCCCTACATTGCAATGTTTGTCTAATGTTGCAAGCCCATCAAAAAGTCTCGGAAACCGGAAAATCTAGCCAATTACTAAACTGTTCCGGTTGCCAAATGGTTAGATACTGCACAAGACAACATCAAAAACTTGATTGGGCATTACATCGTGAGTTTTGCCAAGCCATACAGGCTATCAAGAAGACACTGAGTATTTCCCACCCACTGCGAGTGTCCGGAGCAAATCCAAAGACCAAGGATGATATGGAAAAAACAATAATTCAATTGAAATATTTACTAAGAAATGCCTTGGAGCGGCCACTGCAGTATCACGAGGAGGAGTTAAGTTCATTTCCCATCTTCTGCCCCGTATGTTACAGTTTTAAAAACATCAATGTTTTGTGTTCGGATTGTCAAAATCAAGTCTACTGTTCGGAAGAGCATTTAATGCAACATCGGGAGGAGCATTCAAAGGAGTGTGGTTTACTAAAGCTATATTATACACCCTACAAAACATTGATGGGAAAGGAAATGCAATTGGAGATAGTGCGAAAACTGGATAATTTTCAAAATGTGGATTTGTTTGGAATGTTTGAAACCTGTTTCGATTATAAATTGCCACAGGATCCCACGAAATCTTTGACAGACTATCAAATATTTTCATATGCGGCAGATTTTAGTTGCATGGCCAGCATATGCTATAGCCTTGGTCACATGAACATGCCAGCCTACCAAAAGAAACACATGAGCCTCTTTATTATTGGAGCCTCCTTTGAGGCAGTGCTTTGGTTCCGGGAAATCCATTGTAAATTATTTTTCCAGCAATTTGAACAGATTACAAATTTAGAATTGCATTTCATAGGGCCGGAGACTGTGGAGCAGCGTGAAAAGATTCTGGAATTTAAATTTTTGGTAGGTATTTCTTTTGACACCACATTCCCCCAATCGTATTTTATCAATTTTAATTCATTTAAAGGGCAAACAAAGACAAGTGCAATATCATTGCTTTACGGGACTGTTCCAGAACTATTGCCGTTTGTGCAAAGTCCAGCCCATGCTGTTGGTGGCCTTTAATTGTGGCTTTTCAGAATTCTCCAGACGCTACAATACCCTGCCGCATTTTGAGAAAGCCAGCCATGAGAAACTGTCCTGCAAACAAGACACATGGTCCGGTGCCATTGGGGATATGTTGCAATATGATTGCCCCATTATGTTTACATCTTTTACCAAACAAGAATCTCAATTTGATTTTGCTGCATTTGAAACGGTGGCCAAAAGTCAACAAATGAAAATTGAAATTGAACGTTTATTTAAGGTATCGAAGAATCCCTTTCGCGATTTACGTCCCTTGCGACAATGGTATGCCGGGGATGAGGAGAGTATATACTATCGCAATGGTTATATACAGGTGATTAAAACGAATAAATTTGCATAGGGTTTGTTAGGCAGAGGGGAATGGATTGAAATTAATTTTAGTTTTTAAGTTTATTTATCGAAGAAGTTTGTTATGTTTTTTGTACGTTTTACTATTCACAAGAGAATAAGAATATTTAATAAGACCTAAGTATATATTCGAAAGTTAAGGAAGTATATATTCGAAAGTTAAGGAAATGACTGGATTTATTTAAGTTTTTTTATAGTATCAATCATTGAAAATTAGAGTATGTTTTTTAGTAATAAAAATAAAGTATAGTTTTAATCATTGAAAGTGCTTTGACGTCGTTCTATTTCATCTTGTCGCAAATAGCTGTGGCTTGCGCGGACGAATGTGACCCCTATAATCTTGGGGTAGTTAGTGGTCGGTATTAAATTTCAGCTGTGTTCTCATCTCCGCAGACCATTTGGTAAAGAGAGGTGTGGCCGTTGATTTCGTGGCGGAGGTTTTCATATTCCTCGCGTGGAAGTATGCGGCAAGCTTCGCAAGATAGGGGTTCAAACTTTCACATATGTAATCGACCACTGGGCCCGACGCCATGATCGTACAATTATCCGCATACGTTACGATCTGTATGCCGTCTGGAGGGCGAAAGGTAGAGGTTAAACAGTTCCGGAGATATCACCCCACCTTGGGGAACTCCCTGTTTCACTCCACGGGCTTTGGACTTCTTGTTCGGGAAATCCACGTACGACTAGCGCCCACCCACAGTTTAGTTGATTATCTAACGTTTCCAACTTAGCCGGAGGGTAGTTCTTTGCACGTCCTCAAACGTTGTGGCATGACAGGCCGTAACAAATGCCTTTGATAGATCTAGGGCTACCAACACATGGCTTGTTCTGGATCAATCCTCTACTTATATGTGTGGAAATGGCATGTAATGCTGTTGTGGTAATAAGTTGTGGACGGAATCCGTGCTGATTGTTGGCAACTGAATAGCTTCCTATATTTTTGGGGAGGGGTAAAGCCTGAGAGTCTTAGCTACTGGCGACAAAAGCGAAATCGGCCTAGAATCGGTCTTAGCTACTGGCGACGAAAGCAAAATTTGCCTTTGCTGACATTCTTAACTGACTTCAGTAGCGGGACCACCCGACCCATTTTCCAGGCTTCGGGAACTATTTGAGTAGCTAGCGAAAGGTTGCAAACTTTCGATAAGTACTCAACTCCCGGCGTATCCAGTTATTTCAGCATTACCATTGAGATTCTGTCTTGGCGCAATGCTTTGGATGACTTTGCGTTCCGGATGATATCTGCACCATCACTGATCGTAAACTGTGATGGTTCCTCCTGAGGGAGAAGATATATGATGCAACATCGTACTCTTCGCTTCGCCCTGTCGCTCTCGGGGTGCTTTACAAATTGTCAATTAACATACTCAGCGGATCAGTCTCCGTTACGTCATTACATGTGACTGACGTCCTATCATCCTAAATTGATTGTGTGCTTTTTCGCTCGTGGGTAACTCAACTCAACAGTGTTTAAAACCGTGGAAATTCACCTTCGTTGATCAGAAACTTGTTATATGTCCCGTAGGGACATGCATTTTTGATTTTCAAGACATAGACAATCATGAAAAAACCTATAAGAAAATCCTTTGACTGGTTATCCTGGATTTTTTATACATTACCATTCCAATCCTTAGGTCTTTAGAGTCAAACAAAATGTCAATATTTTTTTTTTTATTTCATAAATAATTTATTCATTTGTTTATTTAATAAATACGATTTATAATATATAGTTTGTGTATATATCGCCGGTCTGTCTTGTTTTGATTGAAGATTTATTTTGTAACACCAATAAAAATAAGTACACAGTTATTAACATACATATATTTTCGACTCTCAACATTTTTTTTAAACAATACATATAGGCATCTTTTTCGAAGCTCTTAAGATAGAGTTTACAAAATTACAGATTAACAACAAAATAAATAAAAAAACAAGGTATTTGTGAATGAAGTTATGAATTGATGAATTCAGTCTATAGAGGAAAGAGACATTTCTTAGGTAGTATAGATTAAGACAGGTTAAATCAGCAGGATGACAAGCCGCCAATACATCCTTCTCAGGTCTTCGGCATCTTAAGATTTAACCTAACCTTTGGTATATTTTGTATAGTTTGTGGCATGAACTCATATGATGTCTTAATAAAAAGAAACTACTTGAATTTGTGATAAATGTACTATGCTTGAATTTAAAATAACTTAATTTCTAACTCAATAATAGGACTAATAATTTAAAGCACTCTTGTGGAAAATCATTAACATTTTGTCTTAAATCTAAACTTGTGCCTTGTGTCTTTAATGCGAAATAAATACAATACATTATTCAATAACGTCGCCTTTTTTCATTATATCTTTGGTTCCCACAATTCTTCTCACTTGTTGGGGGCTATAGAAAAAATCTATGATTTGTAAATAATTTCTAAACAAAATTGTACTCCGTTTTGTGTGCACCTTAAAGTTGCCTATGCCAAAAAGCGTTTTATTTTTTGCTCCTCTTAATGTTCTCCATGAGGCCCTTTAATCCCTTAAGGCCTTACGCCTTTCCCAGGCCACTTGCATGGACCAAATACTCAAGGGTCTCATATAACCAATCGAACGATAACGTTTTTCACCATAAAAAGCCTCAGGAGTTTCAAAATTCATGCCACACTTCTCGGAAATTGTCTCATAAAGACCGCCCGCAGTTTTGAAACCTTCCTCGAACATACCCTCCTGTATCATGGTGGCGGCCAAGGCAAATGTAACACCCGGCCAAACTTCTTCCGATTGTATGCTGCTGGTGTCCACATGACCTGGCTTTTCGGGATCAGAATTGGCAATGAAACCATTGGCAGCCCCAATGTTGCCATTGTGGAAACCCATGACATTATTTTTATAGATTTCCTTCAATGCTGAACGTACATTTTCCTTGGGATAGATCTGTAAATAGGGAAACATTTTTTAAATATTGTTTTATTTCCAAAACCTATACCTTACCTCATAATCGAAACCGCATGTCTTCAAATACCAATGGCCACACAATTGATCTGCCATAATGGTATCCTTGTGGCTGTTACAAGTATCAAAACGATAATAGCTGCCATTCCACAGCTTCTCCTCCAAAGAACGTTTGCCCTTTTCCAAAATATCCTGATAACGTATGCAGTCATTGGGTTGATCCAAAATCGTGGCCATTACCGACATGCTCTGCAATGCAGCCAACCACAAGCCGGAGCAATAGGCGCTGCAAGAAACGAATTCTCAAATTAATAAAAATAAAAAGAAAATGTGTCTAATTCCTTTACCTTGGTCCCTCCATAACCCACGAGTCATAGGTCTGATCGGGCATTTTGGTATTTTCAATTAAACCATCATTGTCACGATCATATTCCATGGTCCTTTCCATAATGGCTTTGCAGGAGGGATACATGGCCTTTAAGTAGGCCATGGCATCCATGAGATAAACTCGTCCATTGGTTTCATTGATGTACATTGAAGCCGATTTGCGATTTTCTGAAAAAGACAAATATGAGACATTTCCAAATTTGTTTTTAAATTTTCAACAACCTCACCCTTTTTCTCTTCCACGGAATTTTTACGTTTATTATCCTGTGAATACATTTCATACAAACTATCCTTATCGATAAATTCAATGGAACTAAATTTACTGGCATTATCCGACTGGGCCTGCGCCAATTCATTCAACACATAATAATCCCTATAGACTTGTAGTACAAATTTCGTATTCAAATCTTTCCAATCGTTGACATCGTGTATATTATAACAATTGATTAGTGTGAAAGGTTCCTCATCGGGATCACCCAAATCATGGGGTACACAATTTTTCACCTTGCGTGGCATTATTTTACCATCGTATAACATTTTTCGTGTATCTGTGAGATTTGCAGCAATGGCATCCTTGAAATCATATTGCAGGCTTACCTAAAAGGGGAATTATTTTATTAAAGCAGAACACTTGGTAGAAATTGGCTACTCACCTGTAGATTTGGCCACAGGTGTGCTATGGCTGGAGAAGCATAAAAGTGGACATCATAGGTGTTGTACATGCGATATTCATGTCCTTCCAGATAGCCAAAGCGACCATAAGCAGTTCTTACAGAAAGAAAGAAATTTGAATATAGAACATAGTTTTATCGGTTAGTTTTCTTTGGAGATAAATAGTTATAGACAAATTTCTATTGAATGATGTAAAGAAAAATTGTTCTGTTATGTGTAGAAAAGTTGTTATCGAGAACTTTTCTATAAGGAAAAGTTGTTATTGACCACTTTTATGTAAGAAAAACTTTTATGTAAGAAAAACTTGTTATCGACAACTTTTATATAAAGAAAAGCTGTAATTGACCACTTTTATATAAGTAAAAATTCTTATCGAAAACTTTTCTATAAGGAAAAGTTGTTATCGATAACTTTTCTATTATGAAAAGTTGTTATAGACAAATTTTCTATAAGGAAAAGTTGTTATCGGAATTTTTTATAAGAAAAAGTTGTTATCGACAACTTTTCTATAACAAAAAGTTGCTATCGACAACTTTTCTATAACGAAAAGTTGTTATCGACAATTATTCTATATAGAAAAGTTGCTATCGACAACTATTCTATAACGAAAAGTTGTTATCGACAAATATTCTATAACGAAAAGTTGTTATCGACAACTTTTCTATAACGAAAAGTTGCTATCGACAACTTTTCTATAACGAAAAGTTGCTATCGACAACTTTTCTATAACGAAAAGTTGTTATCGACAACTTTTTTATAACGAATAGTTGTTATCGACAACTTTCCTAAGTAGACAAGTTGTTATCGACAACTATTTTATAGCGATAAATTGTTATCGAAAACTTTTCCATGAAGGAAGAAAAGTTGTGATCGACTCATTTTCTCTTGTTATCGTTAGCTTTAAAATGGATTAAATCAGTTTTTTAGAGTTTTTCGACATATTTTATTTTCACTTACCTTGGATCATTGTATTCCAAATCTTGTCCCAATGATGAATCACATAGAAGCCATATGGTGCCACCATCCGATATATAATACAATTGATTGAATATGGCACTCTTGTACCAATCCGGAAGACCTCTATGAAAGTTAAATGGATTAAGAATTTAGAAAATATTATAGAGGTTTAAAGCCATTTAAAGCTTACTCATCATTTAAGATGGGCCTCTGCCAATTATCAATAAGCTTTTCCCAATTGCCATAATGTTTCAAAGCATATTCACAGATTTTCGGACCACTTTCCCCATTTGCACTAAAATATTTGGTATAATAACGTGTGTGGGCCTTAAGCTTCTTGGGAAAATGTATGGTTGGCATGTCCCAGGCCAAAGCAAATTCCAAATCATGTTGAGATTTGGGTTTCAATGAAACCCTGGCACAAATTGCCACACCCAAATCGTTGGCTATTGGATATAAAAGCATAATTTTTGAAAGGAGAGCGGAAAATATTCGTATCAGGGAACTTACATTTCAGCGTTTCATCAGCTGCAGTATCATTCAATTGTCCTTGGTCTTTTAGCTGCTGCCACAATTGTTCACCACTACCGTTGGGATCAAACTTCAGACAACGGGTTATGTTGATTTCGGGCAAGACACGACAAGCCAAGTTGTAGGAGCATGGCATTTCAGCAATCACCTGGTTAATGGTTACGCCCTTGGCATTGCCCTCCGAGAATAAAGCGGAGGTGGCATTTCCTTCAGCATCTTGTTTCTTGTTACCGGTGCCATTTTTAAAGGTAAACGTAATGGAGACGGTGCGTTCCTCCTCGCCCACATTCTCCACCGACCAAACAAATACCGCACAGGGCAGACTCGATTCTTTGTAGTCATGTGGTATAACCGGCGATATTTGACGACACACCAAACGTATGCCATACTTGGAGAGATCATACTCAGTCCAGGAACGTGGATACAAACCTGTGTAGCTACATTTGGACTCATCCAAATTCGATTGCCAACTGCTCAGTGGCTGTTTAGGGCGATTGTTGCTGCAATATTTGAAATTACAGGGAATTTTGGAATTATTTAGACTGTGTAGATCGGATAAATTATGGATTGGGGGAAAATGGGACAAGAAAGCATTACAAATAGAAAATGGTAATGCAAACAAACCGAAAATTATGTGAATTCAAGAAGTAAGCCACAGTGTACCCAGTGACAAAAAGTAAAAAAGCCGTGCCGCCGCCAATTTTCGTTTTATTTTTTTTATAAAAATCAGAGTATTGGAAAATTTGATGAAATTACCAATATGTGTGTGTGCGTCAAAAGTGTATTGTTGTTGTCGTTGTAGTTTGGTGGTGATAAAAAGAAAAGAGAAAGAAAAATTCAAGAAAAGAAAATAAGTTTAATTTAACAGCTTTCTTTCGAATGGTAGGTTGCAGTGGCCAATGAAGGTTAAAGGCTTGGCTGCAGATCTAGGTCTGTAACTGGCTAAGACCATTAGACCCCTAAGTTATGATAAAAATCCTCTGCAAAGCTTAGCATCATGCTTCCATTAGACCTGCAACCTATAGCGTTAGTTCTGTTTTGTTTAGTCTAGACACCAACCATTTAGCCATCAATTATGTTTCGAAGATTAGTAGTTGCTGATTATGGAATTTATTTGATTATTTCATTAGTAGATATTCGGAAAGGGAGCGGGGGGTCAGAGTATAGTATGCCTAGCTTGTTATCATGATGTTGTTATTAGATTAATTATGCCATTATTAAGGGTGGGGGAGGAGTAGTATACATTAGCATGATGTAGTTGATATTTTCATATATTTTTTATTACACATCCGCAAGTTTTTATTTTGTAATCAGATTGACATGCAAAATTTGTAAGCCTTGTTAGTGGAGTTACGTGTTGAGGGTTTCAATTAAATTATTTATTACTAACAAAAACAAAAAAAAATTGTTGTTGGACTGGATGAAGTTATTGGACTTTACTATGGACAAAACTTGTTATCGACATTTTCTATAACGAAAAGTTGTTATCGACAACTTTTCTATAACGAAAAGTTGTTATCGACAACTTTTCTATAACGAAAAGTTGTTATCGACAACTTTTCTATAACGAAAAGTTGTTATCGACAACTTTTCTATAACGAAAAGTTGTTATCGACAACTTTTCTATAACGAAAATTTGTTATCGACAACTTTTCAATAACGAAAATTTGTTATCGACAACTTTTCTATAACGAAAATTTGTTATCGACAACTTTTCTATAACGAATAATTGTTATCGAAAACTTTTCTATGGAGAAAAGTTGTTATCGACAACTTTTCTATGGAGAAAAGTTGTTATCGACAACTTTTCTATGGAGAAAAGTTGTTATCGACAACTTTTCTATGGAGAAAAGTTGTTATCGACAACTTTTTTATAAAGAAAAGTTGTAACCGATAACTTTTCCATGAAGAAAAGTTGTAATCGATAACTTTTCTATGAAGAAAAGTTGTAATCGATAACTTTTCTATGAAAAAAAGTTGTAATCGATAACTTTTCTACGAAGAAAAGTTGTAACCGATAACTTTTCTACGAAGAAAAGTTGTAACCGATAACTTTTCTACGAAGAAAAGTTGTAACCGATAACTTTTCTACGAAGAAAAGTTGTAACCGATAACTTTTCTACGAAGAAAAGTTGTAATCGATAACTTTTCTACGAAGACAAGTTGTAATCGATAACTTTTCTACGAAGAAAAGTTGTAATCGATAACTTTTCTACGAAGAAAAGTTGTAATCGATAACTTTTCTATGAAGAAAAGTTGTTATCGACAACTTTTCTATGGAGAAAGGTTGTTATCGACAACTTTTCAATGGAGAAAAGTTGTTATCGACAACTTTTCAATGGAGAAAAGTTGTTACCGACAACTTTTCAATGGAGAAAAGTTGTTATCGACAACTTGTCTATGGAGAAAAGTTGTTATCGACAACTTGTCTATGGAGAAAAGTTGTTATCGACAACTTGTCTATGGAGAAAAGTTGTTATCGACAACTTGTCTATGGAGAAAAGTTGTTATCGACAACTTGTCTATGGAGAAAAGTTGTTATCGACAACTTGTCTATGGAGAAAAGTTGTTATCGACAACTTGTCTATGGAAAAAAGTTATTAGGCAACTTTTTAAGGAAAAAAGTTGCTATAGACAACTTTTCTATGGAGTTAAGTTGTTATCGATAACTTTTCAATAGTGTTAAGTTGTTATCGACAACCTCTCTACAGAGAATAGTTGTTACCGACAACTTTCCTATGGAGAAAAGTTGTTATCGACAACCTCTCTAGTGAGAATAGTTGTTATCGAAAACTTTGCTACGGAGAAAAGTTGCTATCGATAACTTTCCTATGGAGAAAAGTTGTTATCGACAACTTTTCTATGATGAAAAGTTGTTATCGACAACTTTTCTATGATGAAAAGTTGTTATCGACAACTTTTCTATGGAGAAAAGTTGTTATAGACAACTTTTCTATGAAGTTAAGTTGTTATCGACGACTTTTCGGTGAAGAAAAATTGTTGTCGACAAGCAGTTACAGCAAAATGTTCTATGTTACCGAACACTTTTCAATGGAGAAAAGTTTTTATCGTTTGCGATTGTTGTCAAAGTTGTCATCGACAACATTTCTCTAAAAAGTTGGTTATCGATAACGTTTAATTAGAATACTTTTTAATTAACAAGGCTTTCAAAGAGAGAAGTTGTTATGGCCGATTTTTTTTAAGAAGAATTGATATTATCGGCAACGTTACACTTTAGAAAATTGTTGTCAACAACACAATTATTATGAATACCAGTTTTACAGAGAAAAAACTTTTTTTTATAAAGAAGTTATATGGAATTTATCTTTTGTGACCCTTTTGCTCATGTGACATCATGTTCCGAGAATGAAAACATCGTCAAAAATATATCAACATATCTATACACCACAATTTATATTAAAAGAAACCATGATGGATTCCTTAAAACAACCTTACAAATGGATTTGATTACATCACCAATTTTGGGAGGGACCTACATTTCGGTACGCAAAAAAAATCATTTACAAATCATAAATTATGAACTCGACCAACAAAAACTCAAAGGAAACGAAAAAATAAAGAAAAAACTATTTACAAAAGGAAATTCACAAAAGAACAGCACAACTGAGCTACGTGGGTGGGGGTAGTTTTGTGGGGGCCAAAACAATCGAGCAATTTTCAAGCAACAGAGCCATATCTCTGGAGGATATGAATGAAAGCCTGGTTCCTAACAATGGCAAATTTACATTCAAATCAAATTACATTAAATGAATGCGCGGCAATACATAAATGCCGTGCGGCAAGGTAGTTGGATGACCTAAAAATAAACGATGAATAACACAACATAAGCAGGACAAAATGAATGGCATGTAGTTGCAAGGAGGAAGGGCTGAGGGGGTCACACGCACACACTCAAAGCAAAGGACATTTGACATTATAAAGCACTCAACAGAATTTACATATTTACATGCGAAAAGAATAGCTGCAATTTCGCTCACACACACACACGCACACTCATAATGCACAGCAACAAGTGTCAAACCATAACACAACACAAAAATGCTGACATGAAAGAACCGCTTGTTCTTCACTCCCTTGCAAAATGCAAAATGAAATTTCAATCTGATATCAAAAAAAAAAGACTTACCTGGAATTGCTTTTTGACAACAGACTCTGATAGATCGTCTCGCCCTTCACATCCTTTATGGTGACGATGAATTGATCGGCCTGTACGGTGTTGTATTCATACATGCCAGGACGCATTTGGAAGCGACAGAATTCTCCAGCATAACCGCGTCCAATGGTCCCGCCACCAATACCGCCCAATGGTACTCCATACATTTGTTTACTGTGCTCCGTGTAATAGTAATCCATGTAACAGCGTCGGCCCTCACGTGACACTTTCCAATAATAGGCGGCATATCTGAAAGAGGCGAATACCAGAAGTGAAGAGAGTTAGTCATGAAATAAAAAGCTTGGCAATTGAATTGCAGGATATTAATAACGGGGTTGGAATATAAATAATGTTGAGTCAATGTGAGGGTAGTGCTTAACAATTTTCGGCAAAAAATTATTCTTCAGATTTTTTTACAAAAAGTTATTATTGACAACTTTCCTATAACGAAAAATTGTTTTCGACAACTTTCCTATATCGAAAAGTTGTTATCGGCAACTTTTCTGTAACGAAAAGTTGTTATCGACAACTTTTCTATAACGAAAATTTGTTATCGACAACTTTTCTATAACGAAAAGTTGTTATCGACAACTTTTCTATAACGAAAAGTTGTTATCGACAACTTTTCTATAACGAAAAGTTGTTATCGACAACTTTTCTATAACGAAAAGTTGTTATCGACAACTTTTCTATAACGAAAAGTTGTTATCGACCACTTTTCTATAAGGGAAAATTGTTATCGACCACTTTTCTACAACGAAAAGTTGTTATCGACAACTTTTCTCTAACGAAAAGCTGTTATAGACAAGTTTTCTGTATCGAAAAGTTGTTATCGGCAAACTTTTTTTAACGAAAAGTTGTTTTCGACCACTTTTCTACAACTAAAAGTTGTTATCGACAACTTTTCTCTAACGAAAAGCTGTTATAGACAAGTTTTCTGTATCGAAAAGTTGTTATCGGCAAACTTTTTTTTAACGAAAAGTTGTTTTCGACAACTTTTCTATAATGAAAAGCTGTTTTCGACAACTTTTCTGTAACGAAAAGTTGTTATCGACAACTTTTCTATAACGAAAAGTTGTTATCGACAACTTTTCTATAAGGAAAAGTTGTTATCGACAACTTTTCTATAACGAAAAGTTGTTATCGACAACTTTTCTATGGAAAAGGGTTGTTATCGACCACTTTTCTGTTACGATAAGTTGTTATCGACAATTTTTCTATAACGATAAGTTGTTATCGACAACATTTCTTTAACGAAAAATTGTTATCGAACACTTTTCTATAACGAAAAGTTGTTATCGACAACTTTTTCTTGGAGAAAAGTTGTTATCGGCAACATTTTTATAACGAAAAGTTGTTATCGATAGCTTATCCATAGGGAAAAGTTGTTATCCATAACTTTTCCATAACAAAAAATTGTTATCGGTAACTTTTCCATGACGAAAAATTGTTATCGGTAACTTTTCCGTGACGAAAAATTGTTATCGGTAACTTTTCCGTAACGAAAAATTGTTATCGGTAAAGAAAAGTTTTTATCGACAACTTTTCTATGGAGAAAAGTTGTTATCGACAACTTTTTATGGAGAAAATTGTTATCGACAAATTTTATGTGGAGAAAAGTTATTATCGACAATTTTTTAATGGAGGAAAGTAATTATCGACAAGTTTTCTGTTTCGAAAAGTTATCGATAACTTTCCTAGGTAAAATGTGGTTTTCGTTAATGTTTTAAAAGTAGGTTCAAAATAAGTACTTTTGTATTTCATATATGTGATGGCGATTTGTTTTGCTTCCCCTAGCCCCCCTTATAACCTCTATGCGGCCACCAAAACATTGCTGACATAGCCCTTCGTTTTAATGACAGCAATGTCGGCAATGGCGATGATGATGATGATGTCACCCTTACAACGATGAATTGGTTTTCCAGCCAAATAAGAAAAACAAGAAAATTGTTTAAAGCTGTTTTTATGTTTTTCTTTGCCTCGTTACATTCGTAAATAAGCCATGATTTTTCTTTAACATCTCTTTCCCCCGTTTCCTAATGTCTTTTCTCGTATCTCGTTCTTTTGTAGGCATTGATGTTGGTCATGATAATGGACGACTGGGTGGCGGTCTGAATGGTGGCTCTTTATCATGACTATCCTCTTGAACGTCAAAGGTCAATGATGCTTTAAAGTCAAGACCAATAATGGTGCATAGAAGACATTTACAGATTGATGGGAGGGGGAGAATTATAACGAGCCGGGATAGAAATAACAACAAAAACAACATAATAATATGATTTCTGCTTAAGAATATCGAATTGAAGGTAATTACGTCATTTTTAATACTATTTGTTGTCCTTTATCTAAATTAGTGTTGGCATTTGTTGCAAAAGGGGATGTGTTTGTTGGATAATGCAGCAGGATGGAAGGTATTTTTAGAATATGTAATGCGGATTGCACAGAAATTAGTGTAGAAACCAGATTGCTTTGGATGGTCAAACTAATCAATTTCATGATAGGAATCTACTACTTGATGGATAATTTGTCTCAACTAGCCCATATGAATTCACGCATCTAAAAATGGACTAGAAGTTATATGTCTTGTCAAAACCTCTCCCATTTCCTGGTATCATGTCTTGCCATCCAAAATTATTTCCTTATTCCGCTGTATATATATATATGACCTCTCCTCTCCCCTCCCCCACAATAAGCCTTGTCACATTTATAGAAACAGTCCATTAGCAGCTCCTACTTTTTTTATGAATATGACTTTGATTTGTTTGTTTGTCAACAAACACACACACATACCTACATATGTTTGGTATGAAATCCTTGTTGAAGGACTTTTCCATTTGGGAATTGTTTATTTTCACAGGCAAAGTGAGTGATATGTAAAGGAATGTTGTTCTATACGTGAATGTAGGGAAAAAAGTGTTTCCATGTCATGCGTTCGTTGTTGGTAGAAATCTTGGTGTGTGTGTGTTTTTTTTTTGTAGAAGAAATCTATTTGTTAAGGTGTGTCCTATGGGCGTTTGCCTGCCCCAACATGTATTGCATGAGGTAATAGTTGGGAGCTTAGTATTCAATCCAAAGAATTTAAAAAAAAGAAATGGGAAAAAAACTGAATCACGCTATAAAATTCTGTTTGCAATAATTTAACAATATTTTTGTGTTCATTGCGGATCGCGGAGTTCATGAAGGTAATTCGAAACCCCAAAAGAGGCTGTCAACAAACATTTTTTATGAACATAAATAATTTCGATGACAATAGCATATGGCAAGGGGGGTTGAAATTTCAGTTTGAATTTAGAGAATATTTTCAATTCAATGCAGCTGTGTCGATCTCGCCACGCTATTCCCTGTGTGCTATTCCAAACAAGACATGTTTCTACATTGTTTAATGGTGAGCTCATTCTTGAATGCCTATCTTTTTATTTGAGTCTACTTTGTGTACGGAATATCTTCCCAAAAGCCCAAATATGAGCTACTTTAAATAAAACGTTCAAAAAGTACCTAAAATTGTCCTTTACGAAGGGGTCTGGCTGGCTCGGACCAAATAATTGCAAGAACGACTAGTATTGGAAATTCTCCTGTTTTTATGTCACTTCTGGGGTCTTGGAAAATCAGAGAGAAGATCTATTCCTTTGATCTAATACCAACACCTCAACTTTGAATTTGTCTTTGAATATAACTACCACTACTATTTTGTGGGGTTGTAAGGTGGTTTTCTCGTCCGCTGAGGTAAGCTAAGCTCTAGCCAGTATCCTTTCCTTTTACTGGTGGTGTAAATCAAATGGGGTGCAAATTTCAATTATTCAAATGAATATAAAATATAGGCTGGTGAATTGACTTCGTAGATGCTCGGTAATTCAAAATAGAGTTGGTCAGTTGTAATTGAAGGTTTCGTAGACATACGGTGATGTTAGGGTAGATACTCACGGGGTGAACGATTTTTATATCCTCAGCCATATGGCCCCCTCTAGTATATATCATTTAATACGGCCAAAACGTACCTCATCGAAATAACGGCTTTAGATCCTAGGTCTCTTTGGATCAAATCCGTGTCAGGCCATTTGGAGTCGATCTAGCGATGTCCGTCCGTCTGGCTGGCTGGTGCGCAAGATAACTCTCGAATGGATTATCCGATTTGGTCCAAACTTGGTCCACTCCTTCTGGTACCTCCCCCACAAAAGGTCGAACTTTCTGGCTGGTGCGCAAGATAACTCTCGAAGGGAGTATACCATTTGGTCCAAACTTGGTTCACTCCTTCGGTTACATCCCCCCACAAAGGTCGAACTTTCCAAAGAAAATATTTTACTGCACAGAAAGGGAAATTATAATCCGATTTTCCTCCAAATCCTAGAATTGACAATATCGGCCCACTCCATTACGTTCCTCCCCCACAGAGGGTCAAAATTTGAAATAATTATAACACTTATAATATAAGATGTAAGAGTCCGAATGTCATCAAATTACACACATTACAATATTTTTATTGATCCGAGGTCTGGTGTGAAGATGGAATATATCAGTCGACTCCTTCTGGTACATCCCCCACAAAGGGTCAACATTTTGAATATTCATGAAGCTCATAAAATACGAAATTAACATAAAATTCCATTCAGACTTGGCATATCTCAGTACTTCCGTCAACACAAGATCTGCTATAAGGATGGTAGAGATCGGACCATTCCTTGTGGTTCCTCCCCCACGTAGGGTTCAAGATTTGAAAAACAAAACGCTCGAAGAAAGCGAAATAAGCATCCAATTGACTTCAAATTTCACACACACAGACATTTTAGCTAACACATGATCTGTCGTGAAAATGATATACAGGGTGAGATAAAAAACCTGCAACAAAGTCAAAAGCCATAATTTTTAAATTTTTTTTAAATTTTAGTAAATGAAAGCAAAAAATGTTGGCCTTCAAACGGCCAATGAAACCGTCACACGCACATATTATTTCGCGATAATATTCGACATTTATTCTGATGCCACGGTCGATTAATACGAGCGGAAAGCCACTATCGGCTGTTATGGCGACCCACACCATCACCGTGACCGACGCTTGAGTTCTGGTGGCCAACCGAAGGTGCACATTTTCAGCTGACCTCTTTGGCAAGTAAACACGATTGTTGCTCTGCGGTAATTTGGCCCATTCCCGGCGAAGTGCTTGCTTGAGGTGATCGACACATTCCAAAATACTCCAGACACAATAGTCAAACGGATTTGTATCCGGAGATTTTGGTGTTCATTGTGCGCTGGAA